TTGATGAAGATTTAAACAAAAATAATATTGATGAAAATTTAAACAAAAATAATATTGATGAAGATAATAATAATAATATTAGCTATAATAAAAAAAAGAATAATGAAGTAATTCTTTTATTTAATTATAACGATGCATACAATTTAAACTTTATTGAAAATGACTTGAGTTTTCCAAGAAGGAAAAGTCTGAAAGAAACAAGCAACAACTCTTCTTTAGAATCTAAAAATATAGATTATTCTAAAACGATAGAATATATATTCTATTTATTACTTAAATGCTATATTTCTTTGCCTAATTATTTAAAAAACCACGAGTTGTTATATAATTTATTAGATATAATTGAAATGTTTTTAATTTTTTTATTGAATAAAGGATTCTTTGCTTTATATGAGCATGAGTCATTTCTAAATACAATAAAAAATTTTTATCCTTATATTTTTTTTTCTTTAAATAAATCTAAAGATATAATTGACAAATATTTTATTGATAACAACTTTGTAGAATTTTTAAAAAATGCATTGATATTTCTTTTTATAAGAGATTTAATTTTAAAAGAAAGGAAAGAAAAAAAATGTAACCTTAATGAATATAGGATATTTATAAGAAACTTTAGAAATAGAAGTATTAGCAACTTTGCAAATTTAAATCAAATAGAAAATGAAATAAAGGAAAATAATAATAAATCAGAAAATATTTTTTATGAAGAAAATTCATCTACACCATTCGAAGAAAATTTCATGAGCTCATTTATGTGTGCATTAAAACTTAATTATCATGAAAATCTAAAGTTACTAAAAAAAAAATCAGATAGAATATTTGTTGATGTACCTGTTTTAAAATATAACTTTGAAAACAATAATAAATATATAGATTTTGTTAAAAAAAAATTAAAGACTAATTCTGGTGAAGTACTTTTTAAATTACAAAATGATTTTTCACTATATTTATGTAGAAATGATTTATTTAGTAAGTGTAGTAGTTACTTGTTTAAAAATTTTATAAATAATTATGATTATTTACAAATGTATCAACTTAAAAATAAACCAAATATATATCTGTATTTTAATTTAGAATATGAATGTTATTATGGTTGTCGTTTTTTTAAATATTTTTATTCATCCATACATCATTTTAATAAGGATAGTAAATTTATTCAAAAAATCATTGAACTTAATGATAAAGTATATAAAGAAGATCAATTAAATAATTTGCAGAGATTAAATATAGATTTATTAAATATAAATAATGAAAACAAAAATTTTTTTAAAACTTGTAAAAATAATTCAATAGAATTTATAGGTAATTATGTATCTATGGACTCATTACCATTTTTTGACATTTGTCCAACTCATATAAATAATGTAAATCAAAATGAAAATTCGAATTATTTTTTAAAAAATAGCAATGCTCAATTATCACGAATTTGGATATATTCTCCAGTGATAAAAACCATTTCTTTACAGTCAAAAATTTGCATACCTTTACCATTATCACAATTATATAAAATGAAAAAAAAATTAGAAAATAATGAGTACTTTGAATTTGAAAAGTGCGACTTAAATGAAGAAAATTTTGTATATATGTATCTTACATTGAACGAAATTTTAATACCTCAACACACTTTAGGATTATTAATATTTCCTATGTTTTTTTATGTATGTGCAAAAAAGCTTTTATGTGAAGTTAGGAATTTATTTAATGAAAGTATAAAAAATTGTAAAAACATAGATGATAAATGTTCTTTATTTTATTTTAACACTTTAAAAAAAAATAAATTTGATCATTTTCATATTAATGTCAACATTTTGAATGATTCAAGTTTATATGAAAATGAAACATTGTCTGATATAGATGCAAATAATGATAATTTATTTGTTCATAAGAATAATATTATTAATAATGAAGAAAATAAAAATAACATAACAGATAAAAAAAATTTTAATATGCAAAAATATGTTATCTTACCGTATTCACATTTTTATAATGATATTAATGTATTAAATAATTATAGAATTACTATAAATTTTACTGATATTGAAATTTGATTCCCTTTTTCAATAAAAATATAGAAAAACAAAATAAGAAGAGAAAAAAAGATAAATGTAATAACAAAAAATGTATTTTTAGTAAAGGGAAAAAAAAAAAAAAAAAAAAAAAGGAAAAGAATAAAATATATAGAATTATGCCAATTCATTAATAAAAACTTTTGTCTTTTTTTTAAAAAATTATAGGAAGATGAAATGTAAATAATTGGAATATTTTTTTTTTGTATTATTCATATAAAAACAATTATAACAAGTGATGTGTGCATATTTTATAGAAAAATGCACTGGATGCATATATGTTGTTAAAATTTTTTCTTTATGTTTTTTTTAAAATTAGTATAAATATATAATGGTTTGATGTTTTATTATATTTTATTTCAAATATTTCCTCATTTCCCATTTAAAATATAAAAGTACATATATAGATATGTCTATTTATTTATTTTATTTTATTTTTTTTTTTTTTAATTTAATATTTCATTTTAAATTATTATAATTGTATTAATATTAATGTATATTTTTTTATTTAATATTTTGTTTTTTTTTTTTATTTAAAAGAGAGTTTTATTGTTATTAAAAAAAAATGTTTATCACCCCATATATGAATGATAAAATATAAAGAAAAAAAACAGAGTTTATATTAAAATAGAACATAATTATTATTTTATAATATGTAATTTGTTTTAATTTGCCTAATAATTAAAAAAAAGTGTAGATAATAAAAAAAAGAAAAATAATATGAAAATTTTTTTTTTTCTTACACATAAAAATGGAAAAGTTGTACAACTGTGAAATTCTCGATAAAAATATAAATTATAATAATATAGAAAAATCATTAATTAAAAAAAACAAAAATTTTATTTATGATTCATCTGCGTCTCTATTAGATGAATTATATTTTGACTATTATAAAGACGGAATAAATTACACGGAACTGTATAAAAAATTTAAAGAAGATAATTGTGTTAAATCATACAACAGATTACCTGTATGTGCATATAAGTATCCTCAAAACACTAAAATTGGTAAATTTGATAAATTAAAAAGAGAATTAATATATGATAAAATAAATAATGAAAGTGGAGAAAAGAAAAATAAGGTAGATTATTATAATAGTGATTTAAAAATTTTTGTACCTAATAAATTAAAGAATGATAATGGTAAAAAAGAAAAAAAAAGTTTAAGGAAAAAAATATACGATGGAGAAGTAATGTTTTATGAAGACTATTTAGAACAAGTAGCTGCAAGAGATTATCAATATTTTTTTAAAAAACCCTATAAAATAAAAAGAAAAGATGAAGGAGGCAAATATTATTTTTATGGAAGAAAAATAGAAATGAATGAAGATGAAGATTTATATAGGAAGTATTATGGATATGATGATGAATATTTTCTCAAAAAAATGCAGTTAAATGAAAAATCAAAAAAAAAAGTAGGTAATAATTTAAAGAAAAAAAAAGAAAAGGAGGAGGAATCATTAGAAAAAGAGTATGAGAAGTTAAATCATAAAGATAAAAATTTTATATTAAAAATAAAAGAAGAAAATGAAATAAAAAATTTAAACATTTACAATTTTTATACAAAAAATAAAAATATTATATTTGATAAAAATTTGTCCGAAATTAAAAAAAAAGAATTATTAAATGGTTATATTCCTGATATTATTTTTCCTGTTAATAATAGAAAAACAAAACATCCTAAGAATTGTACTGTTCTTTTTAGTCGTTTAAATACTTATGCAAAATTTTTAGAAGACCTTCTTATATGTCCATATATTCATAATGCTATAGATGCAGAATTAGGAAAATATTGGAAAACAAATGAAAATGATAATATAAAGAAATTAAAAACTGAAAAAATTAAAAAAGGATATAAAAAAGATATTTATTCCGTAACAAAAGAACAATTAGAAAAGTCTAATGAAAAATTGAAGAATTTACTAGAAAAAGAAAAAGAAAATGATAAAAATTTAAAGGTTTCTTTAAATTTTAAAATACAAAAAGAAGAGAGAGAAAGTAAAAGTATATGTAATGGTAGATATATGATATAAAAAAAAGAAACAAAAATATTATTGTAAGTTATGATTAAGTAGCTACCAAAATTAAAAAAAAATGTATAATGAAAATTCTGATAAATAAAAAAAAAAAAAAAAGTAATATTTTATAAATAAAATTGTAATATTTTTTTTTTTTTTTTTTTTTTTTTTTTTTTTTTTTTTTTTTTTTTTTTTTTTTTTGCTTATTATCTATCTATATTTTTTTATTGTTTTTTGTCTATTTTACTTATACTTCTGTTTAATTTACTATTTCATATCACCATTATTTAAAATATATAATTATATTAATATGTATTTTTTTTTTATTTTTATAAATTATTTTGTTATTTATATTGCATTTATAATTAAATAGCTTCTTAGTTTAAATTGCGTTATGAAAATTTTTCTAAATTTAAATAGTAATTGTGCTAAATTTATTTTTCTATTGTAAATCTTTTTTAGGTGATAAACATAATTCTTTTATTTTAATATTTTTTTACGTATTTTTTTTTTTCTTTCATTTGTTTTTCCTTAATTTATTTCCATTTTTCATTGAATTTTAGTATTCAAGTAAAATATGATAATAAAAGTATATATTAATTATTAAATAATATTAAATAAATAATTTTTTAGACCATTATTTTATCATATAATCTTTATTTATTCTTTAACTATATTTATATACTTTATATTTTCCTTAAAATTTATAATTTTTTTTTTTTTTTTATTTATATATTATCAAAAATAAACTATTATGAGAAAAAAAAAAATTTTAAATAATCATCTTTTTGACCACTGTTTCATTGACCTCGATTTTTTTCTCCCTGGCATTTTAGGAAACTTTTGTCGCATATCTTCATATAAAATATCATTTTGTACTAAATCATTATAAATAAGTGGACAAGCATTTAGCAAGGCTCTTCCTATAGCTAATCTAGCAGCTTTAGATTGTCCACTTATTCCACCCCCTTTTAATTTTATAAATACATCGTATATACATGCTGTATTTGTTAAATAAAATGGTTCCATCACATCAATTCTATTATAGAAATAAGGCCATCTAATATATAAATCTTCTTCATTATTTATTTTCACTACACCAGAACCTCTTTTTATATATACATATGCACAAGATCTTTTATTTGTCCCTATTCCTTCTGATTCCTCCAACCACTCTTTATTATCATGAAAAAATGTTTTGCTCCTTTTTTTATTAAAGTTATTAATTAGAAATTTATTTACAATATTATCATTTTTATTTTCGTGTTCATTTATGTGTAAATTATTCAACGTATCTTCCTTTTTTTTTTCATCTTTTTTTTTTTCCAAATCTTCAATTTTTTCATCGATTTTTTTTATTTCATCTAAATCATCTTTTTTTATATTACTTAAAAAGTTTTCAATAATAAAGGGGCTTGCATCTGATGAAAAAGGAGGTGACTTCATAATAATTTTTTGTACTTCTGTTGTTGTCTTAATACCCATTTCTTTAGACAAATATAATGCTTCATCTAATGATAAAATGTATTCATTTTTCTTTTTGTTGTTTATTTCATTTTTTGAGCTATACTGACATATATTTTCAATAAAAATATTCTTTTTTACATTATTATTATATCTTTTTGTTGTACCCACTAACCTACTTATCCATTTCATATTAAAATAAAGATATATTTATACAAAAAATAAATTAATTTTTTTTTATAAAATAAATGTATGCTATTATAGAATTATTTTTATATAATATATGTGTATTTTTCATTTTTTATATATGGTATTTGTGTAATTAAACTTTTTTTTTTTTTTTTTCTAAAGGGAAAAATATGTTTAATTATTTTACATTTTAAAACATTATAAAATTGTTTTATCATTTTAAATTTTTAGATTTTTTTCTTTTATATTCTTAGCTATTCTTTTTTTTTTTTTTTTTTTTTTTTTTTTTTCACTTATGGGATTTAAAAAAAAAAGGAAAAAAAATTTAAATATTTAAATAAAAATATAAAGAAATTAAAAGAACAATTATTATTTTGACAAGATTTAAATTTAGAATTTTAAATATATTTAACTTTTATATTATTTTATTTTTTTCTTTTTAATTAATATATATATATATATATAAATTCTTTATCATTTTTCTTTCAAAAATATAAGAAAAAAATAAATCATGAATAAGTACAACTTTCATAGGGAAAAATATACATAATGAAAAATTACAAATAGTATATATTACCCCTTCTCGGCCTCTTGGCTAAGATCAATTTGTAGTACCTGTTCTTATCAGCGTGATAGCTGATATGGTCTCAATAGAGACCTTATCAATTTCACATAAATTTTTGATAGGGGAAAGGATAATTTGAAGCTTGCTTCATATAACCTTTCACGCGTTGCCTTACCCTTGCACAAAAGGTTTGTACAGTGCACCCTTACAATTTTAAATTATCAATTTTTTTAATATTAAAATTATCAATTTTTTTAATATAAAATTAGCATTTTTTATAATATGAAGTTAACAATTTTTTTATTACAATTGATTATTTAATAAAAAAAATTAATAGAGATATTTTATTTTATATTATTTTATTATATTAAAGAAATAATATAAAAAAATATATTTATCAAGTTGAAAAATTTTCTATAAATTTTTTCATATTATTATATATTGAAAAATATTTTATTTTAAAAATTCCTAAGATTATAATTTCTAATATTTTAAAAAAAATTAAAAAATATTATCTCTGTATTTTTATTTTATTATTTTATTTTTTTTTTTCATAAATTAAAAGAATAAAAAACATATCAAAAGAATAAAAGGTAAATAATATTTTAACAAAAAAAAAAAAAAAAAAAAGAAAAAATGTCAAATTTTACAAATATTAAAATAAAATCAATGTTCTAAGAAAAGTCGAAAAAAGAATTGTAGACTACAAAGAATGTGAATAATTAATATTAAAAAAAAGAATTTAGTTATGTAAAAAATTGTAAGAATAAAAAATATATGAAAAAGAATAAATATAGCAATAAAATAATTATTAAGACGATGAGAAAATTTTATGAAATATTATAAATATAAAAAATATTAATTTAAATATGTTCTCTTTAATTTCTATTATATATAATATATACCTTTTTATAAAAGTTTTTAAGGTTTTCTGAAATATTGTCTTCTGAAGGTTCCCCATTTAGATGCTATTATAATTTTTTTTTTTTTTCTTATATATATATATATTTTACCATTATCTTTTTTTAGATGATCTAGTCTTCTACAATAAACATATGGGAATTATCATGTGAATTAATAATTTCACCTGATGAAATTTTAATTTCATCACGTTCTAATAGAGGTTGTTTTGATTCCTGAAAATAATGAGATTTTTCATTTTTAATTTTGTCCTTTTCATTTAAATTTTCATCTATATTTTTTTTATTATTGTTATTATTATTCATCAAATTTTTGTTATTTTCCTCAATCTCTTTGCTACTTGTATCCAAATAGTTATTTTGAACTTCTTTCTCTTCATAAAAATTTTCATTATTTTTATCATCTGAATTCCTATGTACTTTTTTTTTAAAATAAATAGTTCCTACTAACACGGATATAAATGATACTGACAACAGAACAATTAATATAACAATAAGATAGTTGTCATCATATTCTTGCAAATTAAATATAGAATTTTCACAAATATAAGATAACAATTCATCATGCTTGGCTTCATTTGAATCAATAACATACTTCTTACCAAGTTTTGGTGATTCTTTAAATTTAGGAAATTTCGAATCTGTTATTATTTTAATAGGAATATGAACTTCTCCATAAACGTTAGAAGATTTATCAGCAGACATAATTGCTATGACTATATTTGTTTCATATATTCCTTTTTTATAAGCTGAAAATACTATTGGTATGTGTTTTTTTTTTCCTTTATCTAAATAAAATTTCACAAAATGGCAATCAATCTGCATCCACAAACCCCCTAATAAAGTGGTTAATACAGCTGCTTCTGCATTCACCAGACCATCATGAATTGTTTTCTTTTCTCTTGATACAACATGAATTGATGTTCTAATTATAATATCTAAGACATCTTCTGCTTGAGGTATATAACCTTGATTATAACAGACAGAGTATATTAAAGCACTAACACCACATACATGAGGAGCTGCCATAGATGTTCCTGTATTTAATTTGTATAAGTTATTAGGCATAGTAGAATATATTTGATACCCTGGTGCCATGATATGTACACTATTTTCTCCATAATTAGAAAATAAAGATATTTCTAAATTTTTACTTATTGATGCAACACTACGAAAAAAAAAAAAAAAAAAAAATTATAAAAATAAACATGAAAATAAATTTTGCAATACTTTAAATATAAGTAAAATTTTCAGAAAAAAATATCAAATTATTTAAGGTAAAATTTAATTAATATATGAAAAAAAATTATACCTTAATACATGAGGTAATTTAAAGCTAGAAGGATATAATGGATAAATATCGTTATTTTTAGATTTGTTTCCTGCAGCAGATATAAAAACACTTCCTTTTCCATTTAATGTATATTTTAATCTTTCAACGGCTAAATGTAAATTAGAATCAAATTTATTAGATCCCCAACTTGCATTAATAATTGGAGTTTTATTTATTATGCAAACATTTAAAGCTTTAATTGCATGGAAACTACCTCCAAAATTTTTACCATCAATAAAACGTAGTGAAATTAAAGTGACATTAGGAGCCACACCAACTACACCTAAATCGTTTGCTTCACCACCAATTATTCCAGTAACATGAGTTCCATGCCCAGTTGAATCATTTGGGTGTTCAACCATGAAATCATAAAATTCTTCTGTCATATCATATCTTTCATCATATTTAGGAACATAGAGATTTTTAATTAAATCAACATGTTGTAAATCAACACCTGAATCTATTATACACACCTTTATATTTTTATTTCCATAACCTGCCAAAAACCAAGCATTAAATACTCTTATTATGGATAAATTCCATGTAGAATAATCTCTTAATTCCTTTGGTAAAAAACTTAATATTTCTCTTTCAATATCTGAGGATTTATTTTTACCAATACCAGCTAGTGATAATAATGAATTTAAATTAAAAAATTTATTTAAAAAAGAATATTTTACTTCATATAATTTTTTTTTTTTTTTTTTATATTTTTTTTTCTTTTTGTTTTTATTTTCTTCTTCATTTATATCATTTATTTCATCAACTGTATATGTATTAGAAAAATTCCAGCTTTCAGTATATTCTTTTAATTCGTTTTGAACTATAGTTAAAGCTTCTTTTAATAAATCCAAATTATTCATATTAAAAACGTTTGGCACAAAAAAACATATAAAATTTATTGGGGATGATATATCATAAGAAATTTTATCTACATCCTTAAAATTCTTTTTTATGTAGCTTTCTAGCTTATTTTTTGTCTCTGATATAATATTTTTCATATGTGTGGAATGTAAATCTAATTCTCCTTTGAGCACAAGTATTAACTCTTGTGTTTTAGAATTTTGATTTTTTAAATTTAGCAGGTACTGATCTAATAATTTTTCAATGCTTGAGTTTTTAATACCTGTATTATCAGTACTATCATTTTGACTTTCATTAACATTTTCATTATTTTTATGAGAATTTAAATCCTCTTTTTTATCATTATTTTCATTTTTATTTGTAGTTCCATTTGAAGGATTTTCATTATCGTGAGGATCACTTCTAAAACTTAAAAAATTTAAAACTTTTTTTAAGACACCTTGAGAATTATTATTATTGTTATTATTATTGTTATTATTATTGTTATTGTGAATATCTCTTTTTTCATTACCCTTTTCTTTAACAGAATTATTTTCTTTTTTATTATTAGAAACACTATCAAAATGTAGTTTTCCAAATCCATCATATAAATTAGTATGCGTATTTGATAAATTTTCAATATTTTTTTCTTCTTCAATATTTTTTTCTTCTTCAATATTTTTTTCTTCTTCAATATCTTTTTCTTTTTCAATAAAATTTGCTTTTACATGAGGAGATGAATTATTTAAATCAACAAATTTATGATCTTTTGTCATTAAAACTATTTTATATTTTTGTTTTCCTTTATTTTCTATTAATATATGTCTTTGGTGAGTAAATAAATCTTTTGTGTTTTCATTATATGGTATGTTTAAACTGTTTATGCTAAGCTTAGATATATCTGATGCATCAATTGAGATATCTTTCAGCAATTCATCCGAATTTGTCACAATTGTATAATGATTAAACTTACGTGTTATATATTGATTTTCCTTATCTGCTTTCTCTTCACTGTTTAAATCAAATCTTTCATTGATTCCAGAACTCAAAAATACAGGAAGTGTATTCAGATTGACATTTTTTTTTTTTCTTTTTTTCTTTAAATTTTTTTTTTTATCTCTTTGTTTTTTAAAGTTTTCTGATATTTCATAGACATCAAATAGGGGCTTATAATTATTTGCTAATTCTTCAATATTATTTGTCTTATTTACTTTGGACTTTGATAAAATTCTATAATTTTTACCTATTAATTTATTATTATCAGTCTCATATATTTTTAAAAACCGAGGGTTATTGATGTCTTTATAACATTGAAATTTAATGAAAATTAAAGAAAAAACATAAAAAATATACAGCATCTTATGAAAAATAAAAAGAAAAAAAAAAAAAAAATTAAAAATACTTAAAAATAAGTAAAAATAATATTGAAATTACATTTTAAAATTCATTATTTTCAAATTAAATTAATGATTAAAATAAAAGATATAAAAGCGAAAAAAATAAACATTTAGGATTATTTTGTTTAAATACTATCAATTGCAGATAATTTTAAATATATATATATATATATATATATATATATATATATATATATTTTTGTATTTATGCATATACATTTCAAACTTTTTGTTAAAGAAAAAAAAAAAAAAAAAAAACAAATTAAAATTTTAAAAATAACTTTAAAAGCATTATTTAAGTAAATTAAAAATTAAGATCATTACTCTTTTTATATTAATCTACACGAATATTTATCTTAAGGCAAATTTTTAAAATGAAAATATAGGTATTACAAAAAAAACAAGGCTAAGAAAATATTAAATTTTTGTGAAACTTTCAATGAAACACTTTTTTTGAAAAAATCATATTTATAATATGAATAATAAAATTTTTCTTGTATTTACAGAGTACACATATATATATATATAAATGTAGATATATTTTCTCTGTTGTGTGTACCATAAAATATTTTACATGGATAGTACTTCTTAATAATAAAGTGTGTAAATAGTTTTTCATTAATAGAAATTAATATATTTGATAATAAATATATAACACATCTTAAATTTTAATGATGAGCTCTTTTTTTTAACTTTTTTTTTTTTTTTTTTTACACAAATAATTACTATTTTTTATTTAATTTAATATATTATTTACGAGGAAACTTAAAATTTTCTTACAACTTTAAGATTAAAAAAAAAAAGAATTCCATAATATTGCTTTTGAAAAAAAAAAAAAAACTTTTTATTTAAACTTACCTTTTTAGAATATATTTCTTCATTTTATATATTTAATAAAAAAAAAAAATTGTTCTCAAAAATACTTAAAATTGAAAGTTACTTAGCTTTTCTCAATAAATAGCACAAATTATCATATAATTTTTTATTTATAATATAATATATATTAAGATCAAAGTTTACGTAAAAAAGTAAAAAGAAAATAAAAAAAAAAAAATGAGAAAATTACAAACTTACTGTTTTTATATTTTTTACCTTTTTACTCTTTCAATCTTTTTTTTCTTCAATAATTAAAAGAAATGATAATTTTTTTTACAATGCTCTTACACTAGAGTCAATAAGAACTAAAGTTATATTAATTATCCTTATTCATCTTATATATTCAAATAAAATTAATTTTAAGTTTTGTATATTTAAACCGAAAAAAAATAAAAAACCCAACATTATATACTTTTACATTTTTGTTAATTATTTTCAAATTTTTTTCTTTTTTATTTGCATGATTAAAGCATGTTAAAATTAAAAAAAAGAAAAAAAGTATATTTTTTTCTTTTAAGCATAGTATAAAATTTTATTATTGTATACGTATATAAGTATACATTAATGAAAAAGGTAACTTTTTTTTATTCTCAAATTTTTTTAAAATTGCCGTTGTAAAAGTGTAACACATTTCATACTACACCACTCTTCAAATATTAGATATTTTAATTTTTATTCAATAATTGATAGACAAATAATTTTACACATTCAACTTCTTTTTTCATCCTTATTTATTCTTTTTAATTTTATTTTTTTAATTTAAAATGACACTTTTTTTTTTGGTAAGAATAAAATTATTAAGACTTATTTAGATAAAAAAAAAAAAAAAAAAAGAGACAATGGATTTTTATGAATCAGCATGTTTAAATAAATTCATAACATTTATACTGTTGATATTTATATTTATTACAATTGATATGATATATTTTCAAAAAAAAAAAAAAAAAAAAAAAAATTTTTTTTATAATAAAAATGAAAAAAACAGTATAATTTGTTTTATATGGAAAATTTATATATTTTATATTTTTACTAATATATACGTTATGCCAAATTAATTTTCTTATGTTTATAACTTTAAATAAAATTATAATACTTAAATTTTTTTTTAAAACAATGAAAATACCATAAATATTGTAAAAAAAGAGATATTAGATTTTAAAAAAAAGAGAATTAAAAAAAAACTAAGAATTTATTTTTTTTTTTTTTATGCACCAGTTATAAATACTTTTTAGGAATTCTCAATTTTTAAAATTCACAATTCTATACATATTTAAGCTTAAATCTCTATGATTTACATATTTTTTTTTTTGCTTAAAAAATTAAAAAAGAAAAAGATTACCAATAAGATTTATCTTATAAATAATATAAAAATATGTAGCGCTTTTAGCAGAGCAACTGTATATACGATCTTTTTATTATTTTAACATTTATGATTGTCCATATTTTTAATGATTATAGTATATAATTACTGTTATTTTATATATAGTTAATAATAGAAAATAGATATTTCTGCACAGTTTAATTTATAAAAGTACATTTTCTAAAATTGCATATATTTAACTTATAAATTTTAACATTTCTTCATTTTTAAATTTTATTATTTTTTTTATTTTATATTAATTATAATTTTATTAATTTTTATTACTTTTTTATATTTTATTAATTTTGTATATTTAAAAAAAAAAAAAAAAAAAAAAGAAAAAAAAAAAAGAATCAAAAAGAGAAAAATAAATAAATTCAGATTATAAATTTTTTTTTTTTTTAATGAAGTTTCATTTTAAAATATTTAAAAGTATAAGAAAAGAGTTATTAAAAATGTTAAAAAAATAAAAATTCATCAAAAAAAAAAAAAATTTAAACAGTAAAATAGCATATGTAAAATCATTTTATATTTTTTCGTTTTTTATGTATATATAAATATATCTATGGAAACTTATATGTATATTTTTTTTTTTTTTTTTTTGTTTATTAATATTTTTTACATATAAAACTTTTTTAAAAAAAATAAAAAGGAATATTACATAAAAAGTTAAATGATGCTAAAATTTATTGTCCATCTTGGAATTTGAGGCATATTGTATCATTACAAGATAATTTTTCTTTTTAATAAATATTATAATTTTTTCATAATAATTTTAATATTTATACAGGTGTTTTATTTTTATTTTGTTTAACGTAAGGAGAGACTTTATTCCTTCTCAACACATATTTTAAAAAGTATCAGTCATAAGTAAACATATACAATTAAAACAAAGAATTATAAGAATGTAACAAATATTTAAAAATATATATACTAAAAAAAAAAAAAAATTTAAAGAATAAATATTTTATAAGCTAAGATATCAAAAAAAAAAAAAAAAAAACATAATAAAAAAAAATAATTAATAACATATTTTTAGATATGTTAATCATTTTTTGTTAACATAATATATAAATTCAAATTAAAGTTATGCCATGTTTTGTACTACATTATCATTATAAATTTTTAAGAGAGGAAGATAAAACTTAATAAAGGATATTCTGTTATGTTTATAAATAAATATTTCTAAAAGTGAAAATTAGAAAAATATAATATAGAACAACACAGAAAAATAAAATAATAAAATATAATAAAACATAGGAAATTAAGAAAAGAAAAAAGAAGACCAAACATAACAACAGATAAACAATGATAGGAAATAAAGAAGAAGCTTTTGAATGCTTCAATTTAGCTTTGAAATATATGAATATAGGAAATTATGCTCATGCAAAAAAGTTATTTTTGAAAGCAAAACGAATGTTTCCAGATATGGAAATAAATGATAAACTAAAAATATGCGAAGAAGAATTAAAAAAAACTGAAAATATAGGAACAGAAAAAGTAACAAATAATAATGATATTTATAGAGAAAATCAAAATAGAATGCATGAACGTCATAAAAAAAAAAATGATTTAATGGAAAAAATTTTAAAAACAAATAATTATTATGAAATTTTAGGTATACCTAAAAATAGTAATGATGAAACTATTAGAAGTGCATATAAAAAATTAGCTAAATTATATCATCCAGATAAAAATAAAGAAAAAGGAGCAGAAGAAGCTTTTAAGAAAGTTTCCAAAGCATTTCAACATTTAATAAATAAAGAAAAAAGATATGAATATGATAATAATTCCGAGGAAGATATACATCAAAACTTTAGAACAACTCATTATTATTACAATGATGATTCATTTACACCCGAAGATCTTTTTCGTAATTTTTTTGGCATAAATTTTGCTACATGTAATAATAGAACTTTTAGAACCAATATCAATTCTAATAGAGCATATACTACTACTAATAATAATGTTAATAATAGCCAAAGAAATTATTCATTAATTCAAATATTAATATTTTTAATAATGTTTATTATTTTTTTTTTATCGAGCCATTTTGAACATCCTAAAGTAAAAATATAAAAATATTTTAATGTAATTTTATTTTCATATACTTATTTTGAAATTATTGATATAATGAATTTGTATACTTATATGTATATATTCATGTTATTCTTATATATTAATATATAGCGTAAATTTATTTATTTAAAAAAAAAAAAAAAAAAAAAATTAAATATATAAGAATATTCATTAATATAATCACGAAAAAATTTTCCTCTTTTTTATAAATAGGCAGTTTATTCTCTTCAAAAAACGAGTTATTTTGATACAATAAATTATACTACTTTAAATAAAGTTCGTTTTTATACAAAAAGAACTTTTAATTATACTTATCCTAGAAATAGTGACTCACGTTTTCAGGTTATTTTTTTATTTTTCATTTATTCTATTTCATTTTTTTGATTCATATTTATTAAAAAAATTTTTTTTTTTGTAGATTGAATATGAAGTAGAATATAAATATTATGAACACGAATGCCTTATTTTGTCAAAAAAAATAAAAAATGATTATTACAAAGAAAAATCTAAATATAGTAATTCTCTTTTTTTTTTTTCTTTAATTTACATTTTTAATACATTATTTATTTGATTACAATTATATATTAATATTATTTTTGTAATCTCAATATTATATTATCTAATTTTTTATAGATCAGAAATTAAATTATCAAGAAATTCCGGAAAGTTGCATAAAATTAAAAACATTGGAAGTAATTTCTTTTTTTTTTACTCATTAAATACAAATATATTATTCTTTATTTTTTTATACAATTTTGTTCATATTTTTCTATTTATAATGTATACATTTTTTTTTATTTTTTAGGCTCAGTATAATAATTATATTTTAAAATTAAAAAAGCGATAACTGAACCAATTTAAGTTGATAAATTATTTTTTTTAATTTATAATACAAAATTTATAAAAAAAGAAAAATTTTTTTTTTTAATATTTCATTATATTATTATTTTATGTTTTAAATAAACTTTTTATGAATATTTTTAAATGATGCAAATTTGATATTATTTAACTTTATTATTATTATTATATATTTATGTTTTAATTGTTACGCAGATGTATACATTTCAAAAATAATTATTAAAATATATTAACTTTTATTTATTGGTTTCATTGTTCACACATTTTTATTTATTCCATCTCCTTTTTATTTTGCATTTTTCTTTTTTCTTTTTTCGTTTATATATTTGTAATTTTAATATCATGGATTTTTTAAATTCAATTGAGTATGTTTAAAAATTGATATATATATATATATATATATGTTAAAAATATTTTAGAATACTTTAAGAAGCATATTATTTTCTTCTTTTCAGTATTTAACATTTTTTATAATCCCTTTTATTTTTACTTATATATTTTGTTCATGAATATATATATTATCAAATTTTGTGGAACTTGTTGTATATATAAAAATTAAAAATTATTTTTTTTAAATCGTCAATATTTCGTAATTTTTTTCAGATATTTAGATTTTTTTTTTAATTTTTACTAACTTAAAATGATATATTTATATTATAATTTCTTATTTTAATTTTTGTAGTAATAATATAAAAAAATATAATAATTCATTATTAGTTTTTAACTAAATATACTAAATTTTTTAATTAAAATTAAATAATTTAAAATGTTATAATAGAATACGAAAAATACTTCTGTTAACACACTACGTTTTTGAAGTATTCTTTATATTATATTTATTATTGCTATATTATAATTTTTGCCTTAGTAAAATTATTATTATTATTATTATTATTATTATTATTATTATTGTTATTAATTCCATTTTTATTATATATATATATATATATGAAATTGTATTATAATTAAAATCATTCTATTTTTTCTTTTTGAAATTGTTATGAATATTTTCAAAATATTTATGAGATATATTATTGTCACTATTAATAAATTTAATATGGGAATTTACTGTTCATTGCTATCTGATGTATGAGATGTATATTCATTTTTAGCATTATCATCATTTTTATTAAACTCTTTTAATTCATTTTCTTCTTTTTTCAACGCATCACATAGATATTTATAACAAAATTTTTCAGAGTTATTCGATGGAAATTTTTTAGACAATTTTAACTTGTCTTTAATATGATCATTATTTTCATCCAAACAAATTAAATTGTTTACATTTCCCTTTTCTATATTTTTTACATCAGTAAAATTATATTTTATACTTTTTCTTTTATTAGCGGATATAACATCTTTTATTCTATTTTTATATAGATTATTCTCATTTTTAACAGATTTAACAAAGTAAATCTCCTCATCTAAGTTTTTTTTTTTTTTTTTTTTATTGGATTTATTTAATAGACTTTTTTTTAAATTAAATATTTTCAAATAAATGATTATCTCATTCATACAAACCAATATGGCATTAAAAAAATTATCGTTTAAATCTTTTAATATAATGGTTTTTTTTTTTTTTTTTATATCTTTATATATGTGAATACTTTTAATATCATATAAGAAATGAGCTTCTTCTAAATCGTAAAAACTACATTATTAATTTAAAAGAAATATATATATATATATGTATATATGTACATTTATTTATTTGATAATAAAAAGGATTTTTATCAAATTTACCTGAAAGTGTTCAATATACTTGAGTTTACACCTTTAATTGTGTCTTGGTATGAATGAGTATACACTGTTAAAAAATTTTCTGAAGTAATATATTGTTACATAAATAATATATTTATAAAAATAACAATAATAATATTTAAATTAGAAATTTAAATAAAGATAATTGACTAAAATTAAAATTTTAATAAACTTATTTGAAATAATATATACATAAGTTTATTTAAAAGAATAAATATGTTTTTCTCTTATATATATATTATAATACCTATATTTGTTCCATCTAACACAATATAGTTTAATTTTTTTTTTTTATAACTTTCAAGTAAATTTTCAATAAGTAATCCATTACATCCTATTAAACGAAAAAAAGATAAAACCTTTATTTTAGTGACTTTTATAGATTTAAATTAATAATATAATATATATAGGATTATTTTGTGAAATAAGTTATTTATATATATAAATATATTTTTTTTTTTTATGCCTTCTTTTCCTATATCCCAAGCTTTTTTATGAGATAATTTTATTGAGGAAATGGAAGGAATATTTTTTCCTGGTGGTTTCCATTGGTAATTTTTTATCTTTCTAATGTAAAAATGCAAATATTTTTTTATATTTGAGATTAATACATATATTTTTAATAAATGTATATATTCATAAAAATAAAAAAGGATCTATAATTATTTCAAAACTACGAATACATTTTTATTTGTGTGCACAAAGTCAATACAATTATAGTGAGAAGAAAATGTAGAAAATAACCTTATTTTATCGGAAATGAGTATGCTACCATAATTTTTAAGTGGGAAATTAACAATGCTTTTATGAATATAAAATAAAAATAAATAACAAAAATAAAATATTTAAGAATTAAGATAAGTAATCACTTTAATTTTAGTTTTTATTATTACTAAAAAAAAAATTTTGCTATTTTTTTATTATTACCTGTTCATATTATTTATATAGCTAACTGTATGAAACTTTTTATATTTTTTATCTTTTTTTGGTATAAAACTTCTACTAACATATGAATAAATTTTAATATTTTTTTCATCTGTCGTATCAGAGTTATAAATACTGGAACTATCACTTTCATTTGAATATGTGAAATATGATTCATTATCTGAATCTTCTAAAAAATTATTTACGTCTTTATATGATTCAACACTTGTTTCACTTTGATCATCTCGTACTACAAATTTAATTAAATTAATATTTAAATATAAATAGATAAGAAAATAACTGTTAATTTTACGCATAATCACAAAGATTATTTACTCATATCGTTGTAGGAGAGAAAAATTTCTTTCACATTTTCCTTTATTAATTCATCCGTTAACATTTTTTATTATACAACATATAAAACATAAATGAAAAAAGCAAATATAAAAATATATAATTGTAATACACTTTTAAATTATTAAAATAATTAATTCTATTGATTCATTGTTTTATTTTAATGTTTCGAAAATGTTTTTTTCAAAATATACTGTTTAGACAAAATATTTATATTAAAGAAAAAAAAAAAAGGTTCATATGTGCACATGTGTTAAATTCATATAAAAAATATTTATATTAATTGAATTTTTAAATAACAAATTTATAAATAGGCTATTCACATGCAATATAAATTTTTTTTTTTTTTTTTTCTTTTTTTTTTTAAATCGTGCATATTATTTAGAAATCAGTTTAAATAAGTTTTTTTTTTTTTTCTTTTTTTTTTTTTTTTTTTTCCCTGTTTTTATAATTTGTTTTCAACAAACATCATTAATAAATATATTTTTTTCAAATATTAAAAAAAATTTACAAATTTTATTAATAATTATAAAAAATTAATTTACACTAAGTATTACCTTCATAGGTGCGTTTATAAAAATAAAAACATAATAACTGGCTTTTTTATCAAATATGTAAATGTATATATATATATATATATCAAAAGAAAAAATTTCATAGGTGATGCTTTTATATACTAGTAGTTTATTATGAAATTTTTTTTTATTTTATTATAGTTCCGTCCTTATAATTAAGATTTTCTACATTATCGAAAACTTGATTTTTTATAATATTATCAATAGTATAATTTATTTTTTCTACAACATGTTTTACCATATATTCATTTTTCAGAATGTTTGTTGCAATACCTGAAATTTTAGTTACTAATCTACGATTTGTTTTCTCTTTTAATACACTTTTATGTACTTTGCATATGGTTTTAATCCATATATAAAATGTGTTAATAAAAAATTTACTTTTTGTTAAACTACTTAAAAGGAATTCTAAAAGTTTTATTGAATGTTTTTTTCCTAAATTTATAATTGTATTTTTAATTAATTTTTCGTCTTTCGTATTAATCAAGTCTATTACGTTACAATATCTTTTTAATGATATATTAAGTTTAATCATTGATGAAATTACCAAAAATTTATCATTTGAATTAACTAAATCCTTATCTAATTTATTATTCATATCATGATTATAATTGTTTTTTAAATCACTAGAATTATTATCAAAATCCCTTCTATCATATGAAAATTCATCATCTGTTTTCCTCTTTTTACTTTTTTCTAAAATATTTTCTTCTATATCTTCCTTTACTACTTCTTCTTCTTTCTTTTTGTTTCTTTTTTTCTTTTTTTTAATTTTTTCTTTTTTTTCATCATTTCCTTTTTCTTCATTTGAACTATTACATTCTTTATTTATCTCTTCATTTTTATTTATTTTTTCCCCTTCACATGTATTTTCCTTCTCTGATTTAATATTTTCATATATTTCCTTTTCTTCATTTATGTATACATTTTGATTATTCATTTTTTCATTTTCATCAATTTTTTTTTCTTTATCTGTACTTTCATTTTCTTTTTTAATATCTTCGTTATACATTTCTTTCTCTTTGTCTATATTTTTTTCTTTCAATTTCATATTTTTATTAAATTTTTCTTTTTCATTTATAAGTACATCTTGTTTATTCATTTCTTCATTTATAGTAATTCCTTTTTGCTCATCTGTAATTGCATTTTCTTTATTTATTCCCCCTTCATCTTGTATACTTATTTCAACTTCTTTTATTTTCTTACTTTTTTTCATGTTATTTTCTTTGATATTTTTACCTTCTTTATCTGATTCTGTTTCCGTTTCATTTATATATGTACGCATATTTTTTTTTTTAATGTTTTTATTTTTATTCTCTATATTATCAAAATTTTCCTCTATTGTTTCAATTATTACTTTGTTTTCTATATTTTTTTTTTCATCCTCTATTTTGATATTTTCTTTTGTCTCATTTTTTTTTTCCTTTATATCCAACTCTATTTCTTCATTTTTATATTTTTTGTCTTCTACATCCTTAACTCTCTTTTCTGGTCTTTTTTTCTCAATTCTTTTTTGCTTTACTTGCTTTAATTCTACTTTTATTTCATTTTCTGTTTCTTTGTGTTCTATTTCGTCATTTATTATAATTGTTTTTTTTTTATTTGTACTGCTATTTTCATTATTAATAATGGTTTCTTCTCTTTTATTTATATTACTTTCCTCTTTTTTATTTAGATTAAATTCATGACTTTTATTGTATGAATATATTTCTTCAACTTTTTTTAATTCCAATAATATTTCTTCTTTTTCATTTTCATCTTTGAGATTTTTATCATATATATTTTCTTCTTCATTGTATAATTCTTCATCTTTACTTTTTACTAATTTATTTTCATTTGCATAAGAATTTTCCAAACTTAAATCTTCTTTATTTAATAATGATGATGAAGATATGCATAAATCATCGCTTGAATTTTTGGAATTTGTTGAATAAAGCATATTTTGATTTTTCAATATATTTTTATTTATTTCAAATTCTGAAGAATTTTCTAAATTTTCTTCATTTAAATAAAAATTTGAATTATCAGTGTTACCATTTAATAAATTTATGTTCTCATTTTCTAAGCATTTACTATTATGGTTATTTAAAAAAAGAGAGTTTCCATTGTATATATCTTGATCATTATTACCTAGTATTGCATGATTCTCCATATTTTCATTATGATTAATCTTTTTTTTTTTTTCATCTATAGATATTGCACAGTTTTTTATATCCAATGCATAACTTTCATCGATAATTTTGTTTTTACAACTATATATATCATCATCGGAACAATATTCTTGAGAACAAAATTCTATATTATCTTTATTTACAGAAGAATTAACACTTTTTTTACTTTCTGCACTTGATTTAATTTCTTTTATTTTTTTAATTTCCACATCAGGTGATTCATTTGTTATATTTCCATTAAGATGAATTTCTAAGAGATTTTGTTTATTTTCCATATTCATATTATTAGCAAAATTATTAACACTATTTAATTTCTCTTTATCTTCATCATTTGTTGAATCACTCTCCATTAAAGAATCACTTTCATTATAAGAAGATTTTTTATCACTATTATCACTATCTTCCCATGTTATTTCACTATCTATATATGAATCACTATCTGAATAACAAGAAAATTTAGACTCATTTATAACTTTATCTATTAAATTCTTTTTTTTTTCATTATCACTCATATTTTTCACTGCTATTATTTTATTGTTTGAATCAATCACATTTAATTCTATTGATTCTGTATTATTTTGAAAAGTATATAAAAAATCATGATTAATTTGAATTGTATATATTTTTGCAGTGTTATCATTCATTGCAACTGCATCAAAGAAAAAATTACTATTAATATAAATCTCTTTATTCATTATATGTTCTAAGTACTTATTATAATTTGATGATAATCTTTTTTTTTTTTGTATTATACTTTTTTGTTTTGCTACTCTTTCTGAGAATATATCAGAAACATTATATATAAAATATGTTTTAAATGGTAATTGCATATATAAAACTGGGTTTTTCTTAATATTTGCGAAACCAAATTTAAAACTTTCTTGATTCAAATAATCAATAAAATATATTTGTATTTTTCCACTTTCACCATAAATCAATAAATATAATTTAATAATATTTTCCTTAATTTTTAAATTACAAATATTTCCCTGTTCTTTCATATTACTATTTTCATTTTCCTTACATACATTTAAATCGAAAGGGATATTGTTTTCTCTATTTTCGCTATGTTCACACATATTTAAAGAGTTTAAAGAAATATTTGAGTTATTTTCTCTCTCTGTTTCTTTTCTTTTATCATCTGAAAATAAGTTAGTTGATGAAAGTAATACATTATCATTTCCATTTTTCAATTTTTCTCTATTTAATATATTTTCTTCTGTTATAGAATTTATTATATGACATTCATGTGAAGTATTTTCTTTTTTATCATTATTTTCATTACCAATGTTTTCATTTATTTTTTTTTCTTTATCAAATACATTAATTTTAAAAAAAAATCCTCCTTTTATTATCTCATTATTTAGTTTATTTACTGATAATTTTACTAAACATTTTTTCTTATTCTTATATTTTCCTTTTACAAATTTATATACTGTTATGTCTTTATCTGAGTAACTGCAAACGTGTATAACTTCTTTATATTCCTTGTTAAGTTTATAATATTTATTTTTGTAAGAGTGATATAAATATTTTTCCTTTTTACTCTTGAATGGAAGACTCATATTTGTATTTTTCACTTTTAATGTTTTATCTTTCAAATATATTAACTTTAAAAAATATAATCTTCTACAAGTGCTTAAATATAAAATATTTTTATATGAACAAAAATTCACTTTCAAGGGAGTATCTTTTAAATTTAGCATAACATTACATTTTCCATTTGCTTTTGATTGAAACAAGGAAAACTTATTTTTTTGAATAAAAATTATATGTTCTTTGAAATATATAAAATCTATAGGTTCTGAATCATTTAAATTCATTAAGCAACGTTTTTTTTTTGTTTCATTATCATACATATAAAATCGGTTATTTGAAAGCAATATAAAATTTGACTCTTTTGTTAAATATGCTTTTATAAAATTTTCTGATGTAACGGAATTACTTATTTCGTAATGCCTCAATTTGTCACTTTTTGATCTCATTTTAAATAAGAAGAGCTTGTAACAAAATTTTCTACCATTTTTAGTTATTTGATTAACTAATAGATTGTTTCTTTCTATATCTAAAATGTCTCCATTGTAATCCATTTTTTTCTTTTTATTTTTTTTTATTATTTAACAATTTAATTTTTTTTTTTTCCCCCAATATGTCAACAATTTTAAAGCAGTAACATATGATTTAAAACAATTCTCAAAATTAACAAAAATTAAAACCATTTATGTTTTTTTGTTACATAAATAACAATATATATAAAAACATAATTAAAGGAAGTTTAAATATATTTTGAATTTTTATAGATAAAGCAATTTATGAAAATAATGCTTTTCTTATACTTTTTTCGATTTTTTCAATTTAAAAAAAATACTCCAACAAAATTTTCATTTTTTTTTAAGAATCATACCTCATATATTTTAGTTTTTTTATTCTCTTTTATTTATTTTTGTTTATTTTAAAATATAAAAATATGTAAATAAATTTTTTATAAAAAAAAAAAAAAAAAAAAGAAAAAAAAAAAAACACAAATAGGTGTTACATTTATTTTATTTTATTTTTTTAACTTTAAAAATACATATACATAATATTTAATTATGAGAAAAAAAAAATATAAAATAAAAAATTATTTTATTTTTTTTTTTTTAATTTTCTCTTTTTTATAATCAAAAAACAACATCTTAATTTATATATTATTTTTTAAAATTAGTATGTTAAAAATATACAAAATATCATTTTTCTACAATTTATTTAAAAACGCAGTTGAATTCTTTATAAGATAATAATTAAAAATTCTCATATTATACATTCTTTTTTTAAAATAATAAAGTAATTTTATGTGATTTTTAATTTTTTGTAGTAATAATTAAAAAAAAATTAAGAAATTAAGTCATTAAACATTATATGAATTAATGAAATCCCTTTTTATTTTATCTTTTTTATTATTTAATAAAACTTCTTTTAAATTTTTTTCAACATCTCCTATAAAGTAGACCTAAATAAAATTCTATTATATTTCTTAATTTTGAAAAAAAATGAATATTACAGTAATAGTTAATGATATAATATTTATGACTATTATTTAATTAAAATATATTAAATATTGATAGAATAAAGAAATCACATTTTTAAAATTAGTTAATTATTTTATGTTTTTTATTTATTTTAATTTATTATGAAGATTTATTTTAAAATGAATAAGCTTACCATAATCATTTATATTTAATCTATATTATAAAATTTTATAAAAAGAAAAAAAATTCAATATATACTATTTTTTTTTTTTTTTTCTCTCTCTTCCAGAGAATCTTATAAAGAAGTATTTTTTTTATTTTACAATACAAAAATAATAATTTAAAATACGTTACTTTTTAATACATTCTTTAACTTAACTAATACTCAAAATATAATTTCCACTTCTATTCTAAGAATTTAAGTTCTTATATTTTAATGGATTTCCAATTATACTTTATGAATATTTATTTCCTTTCATCTTTTCTACTTTGTGTATTAAATTTTACTTTTTTTAGAATAGTAATTTTTAAATATTTTTTCATTATTTTAATTATTCAAATGTTTAAATTATTAAATAAATATGTATAATAATGATAAAAACAATTAAAATAATAAAATAAAATTATATGAAAATAAAAGTAAAAATTAAAAGTTAACTAAATTGCTATGTATCACTTTTTATATTATTTCATTTAATTCTTTTTAATGTTATATGTTAAATGAACGAGAAAAAAAAAAAATTAATAAAAATATAACTAGCAATAAAATTTATAGTTAAATAATTTTTATAAATAAGGAACTGAATTTTTTTAAATAAAATTATCAAAATAAAATTAAAATGAAAATTATAATAGTTCTTTATAGAAATTTCAATAAATTCATGTGTGCAAGAATATAATAAATTGTCTTAGGAATAGGTAAACAAATAATTATGAAGTTAAAAAGATATAAAAGAAACTTAAAGCAAATAATTATTTTTTAATGTAAGAAATAAATTTTTAGGATCTAAAATAAATAATAAAAAACCCAATTAAAGAAACAATCAATTTGATAAAAAAAATTGATACATTAAGAAAAAATTTTATAAAAGTTATTTATGTATGAATAATACAAGAAAAAAGCTTTATAAAAGGTAACCAACAAATGTAAACTAAGAAATCTAAAAAAGACGAAGCATTATGTTAATATAAAAAAAAAAAAATATATTAGGAGAATAATAAAGTAAAGCAAATAATAAATGATTTAAGTACAGCTAAAAATTGAATCATCTATAACCTAAAAAAAGAAATCTTTTAAAATTAAAAACATATACATGAAAATATACCTTACAATTTTAACTAAAAATCATGAGAAAATTTTTTTTATAAATCACACACACCACAAAACAAAAAACATAAAATTATCATACTTAATTGACTTTTACAAATAAATTCATTCTAAATTTCGCTCTTTTTTAAAAATATTTTATTCATCATAGCTTTTAGTATGTATTTAAAAAAAAAAAAAAAAAAAAAAAAAAAAAAAAAAAAAAATAAATATTAACAACTATTCATGAAGCGTAAATATTTTTTTTTTCTTTTTTTCTTTTGTACTACATAGTAGGAAATATTTTGCATGTGATAGTTTATAAAATTTGCTTAACATTTAATTGTTAAAATAGAATGTTCATAAAAAATTCAGTTATGCATTAATTTTTATATTTAAAAAAAAGAAAACGCTTACATTTAAAAAAAAAAAAAATATTATACATATATATATGTATATAAATATATATAAATATATATATATATATATAAGTATATATATATAATATATATATATATATATATATATATATTTATTTATTTATTTATACACATATATTTTTTTATTAAATGTCATGCACTATTACCTAAGATTGAAAATAAGTTTTTAATTAAAGATTTAAAAGAACGCCTGACTTAATGAAAAAAAAAAAAATTAATAATTCCAAAAAAAAAAAAAAAAAATATACAAAATAAAAATCATTAAAAAGGGGGAACTAACAACGAAAAATTTAAGTAATTGTTAAAAACAATATACATATTTGAAAGTATGTTAATGTAAAATACAAAAAAGAAACGAATTTTATTTTTCTTATTTGGTAATTAATTCTTTATAACATAATACATTTGAATATACATTAAATATTTATCTATGCTTTATATAAGTTAAATGATTTTTTATTTTTACATACTTAATGTATTATATTTTTGTTTTTATGAAGATATATTTATATAATTTGCTCATTTATATAAATACGTATGCATATGAATATATTTAATTTATATGCATTTTTATATTATAAATTTATCATAACTTTTTATATATATTTCTTTAAAAATTATTATGAAATTTTATATTTTTATTAAAGAAAAAAAAATAAATAAAATACTAAAAATTAAAAATATGCACACATCATTTTAAAATCACTAATGGAATAATATTATAATGTTAATGTAATAATAAGAGATAAAAAATATTTATATATATTGAAATCAATCATGCATCTAAAATTAATATTTATGTTTTTATACGTTGAAATCTTGCTCTAATGTAAATATCATTTACTTATTATAAAATTCGATTTTTTTAAAATATAATTATGTGCAAAAAGCATTTATACATTTAGTATACATGATTATTTTTTTTTATAAAAAAGACATTTTTATTATATTGTATAAAAATTTACATTAAACTATATATTAAAATGATTTATATTAATATATATAATAAAAATTATTATTATTATTACTACATATAATCAATATTATATATTTTTATTCTTATATTTTATAATTAATTTTATATAATTACATTTAAAGATAAAAAAAAACAAAATATAGTTAATACATCTATATTTTTTAAAAACGTTTTGAATCTTTTAATTATGTACTATGCTAAATCTATTATTTTGAAAAAATTTATGTAGACAAAAAGAAATATTATAATTTATATATGTAATGAGGAATTTATATTTTTATTCATATATAATATTTATTCTATTTTTAAGTGTTTATCTAGTGATTATACAAATTATTATATAACAAAAAAATATATAAATAAGCTTAATTTTTTGCATTTTTGTGTATATTTATATATATATATACATTGATCTATTACATTTCTGTTAATTCATTTTTAAAATTTATTTTATTATATTCTTTTTTTTTTTTTTTTGTATGTAGCTATAAAACAAAATATTAATAATGGAAATAAGAGTAGCGAATAAATATGCGTTAGGGAAGAAATTAGGAAGTGGTTCTTTTGGGGACATATATGTTGGTAATAAATTAAAAGAATTTTATTAAAATTTCATTTATTTTCGAATTATAGGATATATTATAAATTTAATCAAATATTCATCTATTCCTACAAAAAAAAATTTAAATAAATTTTGATTTCTTTAGCCAAAGACATTGTAACTATGGAAGAATTTGCTGTAAAACTAGTAAGTTGAAAAAAGAGAAAAAAAAAAATATCTTTAAAATATTAAGTTTTTGATAGATATTCCTAATATACATAATTTTATATATATTATTATTTGAAATTTCTGTTCTTTTACTAGGAATCAACTAGGTCAAAGCATCCTCAGCTATTATATGAATCAAAATTATATAAAATATTAGGGGGAGGAAGTATGAATATTCTATGAAAAATTTAAATTATAAATATATAAAAAATATAAAATAAAAAAAAGATAAAATAATTTAAATGCATTTAAAAAAAAAAATAAAATAATAAAATAAAATAAGTAAAATAAAGAATATATATTGGCATTAATATCTTTTTCCTTTAGTTGGTGTACCTAAAGTTTATTGGTATGGAATAGAGGGAGATTTCACTATTATGGTTCTTGATTTATTAGGACCATCTTTAGAAGATCTCTTTACTTTATGTAATAGAAAATTTTCTTTAAAAACTGTCCTTATGACAGCAGATCAAATGGTTAGATTGCATATGTTCTAATATTATTATAATTGTTACTATTATTTATTTATTTTATAAAGAATATAAAATAATTTTTTTTTGCTTTTTAATTCCTTTATTTTTACAGTTAAATAGAATTGAATATGTTCATTCAAAAAATTTTATTCATAGAGATATTAAGCCGGATAATTTTTTAATAGGTATTTAATTTTATACATTAATTTAATAATAGTATAATATAATTTTATATATATAATTTTTTTTTTTTTTTTTTTTTTTTTTTATTTATAGGTAGAGGTAAAAAAGTTACTTTAATTCATATTATTGATTTTGGTCTTGCAAAAAAATATAGAGATTCTAGATCACACACGCATATACCTTACAAAGAAGGAAAAAATTTAACAGGAACAGCAAGATATGCTAGTATAAATACACATTTAGGTAACATTACATTTAAAGTAGTATTTTTTATATGTTTTTATATACCCTATTTTATTTTATTGATTTTATTTTTCTTGTTTACTTTTTTCTCATTTAGGAATTGAACAATCTCGTAGGGATGATATTGAAGCCCTTGGATATGTTCTTATGTATTTCCTTAGGGGAAGTTTGCCTTGGCAAGGCCTAAAAGCTATATCTAAAAAGGATAAATATGATAAAATTATGGAGAAAAAAATTTCAACATCCGTTGAAGTCTTGTGTAGAAATGCAAGCTGTAATATTAAATATATTCTAAAAGATATCTATGTGTTTCTATACATATTTTGGAAAAATAAAATATATATAATGAAAGAAAAAAAAAAAAAAAAAAACATATTAAGTAGTCTTTATATTTTCGGAGTTTTATATAAATATTAAAATATAAAAATAAAATATGTACATATTACAATTAATCCAAAAAATAGAAATAAATTTAACATAATTCTGCTTTATCATTTTTTTTTTCTTTTTCGTTTAGTCGAATTTGTAACATATTTAAATTATTGTAGATCCTTACGATTCGAAGATAGACCTGATTACACATACCTAAGAAGGCTTTTAAAGGATCTTTTTATAAGGTTACAACAATGAAAAATTACGTTAATAGAGAAAGTTGAAAATATGGATTTATTATATAAAAAAAGAATATATATAAAATTAATATATTTTTAATTCCTTGTTTTTTTTTTTTTTTTTTTTTTGTTATAGGGAAGGGTTTACTTATGACTTTTTGTTTGATTGGACATGTGTATATGCGTCTGAAAAAGACAAAAAAAAAATGCTAGAAAATAAAAACCGATTTGACCAGACTGCAGATCAAGAAGGAAGAGTAAAACAAAATTAAAAAAAAATTTTGAGATATATCTTAGGAAAATTCACAGCATTTTATATATATATATTTTTATTTTTTTTCTTTTTTAATTGAAGAATATAATTTAAATGAATAAAAATACATGGTTATTTTCTTATAATTGTACTGTAGAGATTTTAAATTCCTTTTTTTTTTTTTCTTTTTTTTTTTTTTATTCAACTTTATTGTTATTAATATATTAATAAAAATTTATTATTTAAATTTGTAAGAATACCATTACACAATTCATTACATTTTATATTTTTTATTCCAAATATAAATACAATTATTTTTATTGCTTAATGTGTATATCTTTTTTTTTTTTTTTTTTTTTTTTTTTTTTTTTTTTTTTTTTTTTTTAAATAATAAATTATTTATATACCTATGATTATATTCTTTTCAATAAAATAAAAATATATATGCTTATGTTTCTAGTAAATAAAAATGAATATTTTTTTAAAACCTACATAAAATATAAATTTAATATAGATGTGAAAAAAAAAAAGAAAATTAGGAATTCTTAAAAAATTATGTGATACTATTATATCTTATATTTAAATTTTATTTTTTTCTTTTTTTTTTTTTTTCATTTTGCATTATAAATTGTAGTTCTTTGTTTTTTTTATTTTACACCATTTTTTTTTCCTTTTTCTATTTCTATGTTCCATTTTTTTTTTTTTTTTTTTTTTTATAATCCTTTAACATATATTTATTTTGAAAAATTATAAAAAAAGAAAATGTTGATTTTACATAATTGTTAATACTTTCAGTTAAACAAAGAATTATAATATAAATATGTTTACACCAAGTTATATTTAATAATTTATATTACCCCTTTATCAATTGTTAATTAAAAAGGATAACTAATATTAATATATAAATGTAATATATGTTTATATATATGATTTTTTGAAAAGTAGGGATGAAAACACATTAAATGTCTGTTAGATCAAGTTGAATATTTTCATATGTATTAAAGGGTTTTAATTAAATATATATTTTTTTTTCTCTAAACACAAATATAAAATCAAGCAAACACAATTTTTTTTAAAACATTATTGTGTAGAACAATAAAACAAAAAAATAATATTCCTAATATATTTTTGTATCAATATATGCACATACCAACATTTTTCATTAAAGATTTAAACGTTTTTGTTATTATATAAATACATTTTTCATTTTTTATTTTTTATTTTTTATTTTTTAACATATTCCATATTAGAATTGATAATTATTCTATTTTTTTTTTTTTTTTTTAAATACAATAATTTTTTTTCATGTGGTTAAATATAAAATTTGAAGAATAAAAAAAACTAAACAATTAAGATATATATTTTTATTTTATACTTTTGTCATTTAATAACCATTATTTAAAAATACGTAATAATATATTTAAAAGTTTAAAAATCTTTTTAAATTTTATTTTTTAGAATTTTTCAGTAAATTGTGCTAATGTATATCTATTTAAAACAAAAGAATATATAAATAATATGAGTTATCTTAATATATTTTTTACAATTTTAAAAATATACTATAAATTTAAAACTTTTTAAATAATGTTCATTTAAAACATATTATGTATCTTATGTAAATATTGATATTTTTTTTAAGTTGATTTCAGTCAAAAATGTAAATTTATATTTTTTTTTTTATATATTTTTTATAGCATTCCAAAGATATATATAAATGGAAATACATTATCTTATTTCACTTAAATGTGTTTTTTATAAATGTTTTTACCATTTTTATAAAGGCACTTAAGTTATTAATATTTAAATAAAAATTAACTTAGAACTTGTAATTTTAATTCAAAGAATTATATACAAGAATATATTAAAATCACTAATACAAATAATTATAAAAAAATTATATTTTATTATTATTATATATACATATATATATATTATTTTAGCAAAATCAATGAAATGAAATAAAAAAATATCCTCTGCGTTATAATTTTATATATATATATATATATATATATTTTTAGTTATATAACAAAAAAACTTATTATAGCATTATTATTCGTTGAGTATTGAAAATATTTTATTTTTAAATAAACTTTTTTTTCTTTTCTTATTCTTTTATTTTATGAATATTTTTCTGTATTTTTTTTTTCTTTTTTTTTTTTTTTTTTTTATTACATTAAATATATTTTTTATTTTTTTCATCTTTTTTTGAAATGAAGCAACTTTATTTGTTAATAAAATTACAGAAAAATACATTTTTATTTTTTTAAACATATTCTACAAAATTGAAGTTTCTTCCATTATTTAACAAAGAATTTTTTTTAATCATATATAAAAAATTTTTAATGTGATAGGAATTTTTAATAAAATAAAAAAATAAATTAATACTGTTTTTATTACTGAAATAATTAGGCAAAATAAGTCAATCCCAAAATGGATGAAATACAAATAAGATCGAAAGAAATACCTCTTGAAGAAATAAAGTATAATTTTGAAAAAAAGAATTATACGGATGTAATATTTTTAACTAATAATATTTTTATTAATGAAAACTGCAATGAATTTGCTTTAAAGACCAGATTTTATTGTTTTATGGAGCTAAAAGATTATACAAGAATAATACATGAAATAATCTACTGTTTAATAAAAATTAAGGATAAAGAGAAAACTTTCAAAAATATATTTCAAGAAAATTACACAAAAATAAGAGATAAAAATGTTTTATTTGAATTATTTTATTCTATGTATAAATTAGGAAAATATAAAAAATTGAATGGATGTTTGAAATTCCTTTTAGAAAATGAAAATAAATATGATGATTTTATTAATGTTTTGTTAGCTCAAGTAAATTTTAAATTACGTAAATTTGAGACTTCAATTAATACATATGAATTATTATTGAATGACAAAGGAAAACAAGCAATTGCAACAATTAATTTGTATAGTAGCTATTTTTCTATGTATATAGAATTAATGTATGAATATAATTTTTTAAAAATACCAAAAAATAAATTATCAGAAGTTGTTGAATTTAAAAATTTGGAAATTTTGAGAGAAAAAATTAAAAAAATTACGAAAAATTTTAAGTATGAAGAAAATGATAATTTTGAGCTCCTTTTTAATTATGCCATATTTTTTACAATTGAAAAAAATTACTCTGAAGCAGTTAAATATCTCGATTTATTAGAAAATATATGTAGAAGCTTATTAATAGATGATACAAATAATTCTAAAAATTTATGTAGTACAGATATTGCAGAAATAAATTCTAAACGTATTCTTATTCAATTAGAGAGAGCATATATATATTCTAAAACTAATAGAATTAAAGAATCCCTTATTATTTACGAAAATATTTTGAATAGTTATGATGAAAATATAAATAACATTATAATATTATTAGCTTATAATAATTATTTGGCTATTATGCATAATGATATAAATAAAAATATTGATAAAAAATCAAATGACATTATTTTTAATATTAATAATGATAAATTAAATCAAATAAAATCTTTTATATATATGAATAAAGATATACACAGTGAGGTTAATGAAATTAGTAACAGCATAATAAGTTTCAATGAATGCTTATTATGTTTAAATGCAGATCTAAAAGATGATTTTAAAATAAAGTTAAGTAACTTTTCTTTAAGATTCAAAAATTCAATTTTATTGGATATATTAAAAATAATGACATTTAAAAATGAAAATTATATGAAATGTAAATATTATATTCTTAATATAATTGATCGCATGCAGTCTACAGAAAATAAGATTAAATTTATTAATGCATATGTATATCTTTGTTATGAAAAAAGAAGTTATAAAGAAATAGTAAAAATATATTTAAAATATGAAGATATTTTTCAAAATAATGTAAATGATTATAGTATTTTTTTTTCAAATATGTTTTATATATGTATATGCATAAAATATACAGAAAATTTTAAACTATTAAATAGTGGCAACACTAATAATTTAAATTTAGTTATTGATTTATTCCAAAAGTATAAAGAAAATATAAAAAAAAATATAAATATAGTAAACTATGAAACATTATTTTTGGTCAGTAAATATTTAATATATCACAATAAATCAGATTTGTTAATTGACATTTTTGATTATTTATCCAATGAAGTTAAAAATAACTTCAATTTTTTTTCGTGTTATACATACGTTTCTACATATATTAATTTAAGCAATGCATATAAATATGAAGATAAATTAAAAAAAACTGTATTAGGTGAGACATATCTAATTGATGTAGATGAATTGGAAAATAAAAGTATTACGTTTGATTTAACTATTAACAACGAGATAATTTCAGCATCTGTTGAGAAAAATAAAAGAAAGCGTAAAAGAAAAAAGAAAAAAAATGTAGATTCGAACAACTACAACCATGATCCTGATAAATGGCTACCAAAACATGAAAAACCAGGATATAAAAAATTCAAAAAAAAAAAAAAAAAAAGTGAAATAACACGTGCAAAAATTGTAATTGTAGAAGAAAACAAAAATCAGATTAACCAATCTAAATTGCAAAAATTGAAAAAAAGGAGGAAGAAGTAGTTTGTTTATTTTAACCAATAGATGGATTTAGTTAATAAGTATTAATTAATTAACAATTAAATATATTAATAAATTTTTTTTTTTTTTTTTTTACACCGAGAAATTGTTTGCTGATTATAAAAAAGAATATATCTAAATATTATTGTACTTTTTTTTTTTTTTTTTTTTTTTTTTTTTTATGAAGTATTTGAAAAAGTTATGTATTTTATTATAAATAAAAAAGTTTTATAAAATTCTATGAATAAAAAAAAAAGATTAAAGACAAGAATATTTTCATGTGAAAAATGATACTTTTTAGTAAAAATTGTCTTTTTTTTTTTATTAAATTGGAATTATAAATATATTCAAAAAAAAAAAAAAATAAAATAAAATAAAAATAAAAAAGAGATGATAACATAATATAAAATGATACAGTTTTATGTTTATAAAAAAATTAAAATATAATATAAATAATTATAAATACGTTTTTTTTTTTCTTTTTTTTTTTTTTTTTTTTTTTTAAAAAANAAAAAAAAAAAAAAATAAAATAAAATAAAAATAAAAAAGAGATGATAACATAATATAAAATGATACAGTTTTATGTTTATAAAAAAATTAAAATATAATATAAATAATTATAAATACGTTTTTTTTTTTCTTTTTTTTTTTTTTTTTTTTTTTTAACAAATATATTATTTGCATATGCATAAGTAAGATTTAATTATAATTTTTGAATTAAAATATTATTCATTAATATATTACTTTTTTTTTAATATACTTTGATACCTATATATATATATATATATTTCCTTACCATTTATAATACATTACACCGATTTTAAAAATAAAGATTATTTTTCATCATCGTAATCTATATCTCCATATGACCATATGAAAAGTTTATTTTTCTTTGCAAGTGCTTCTTCCTTTTTTAATTTTTCAAATATTTTGGTATTACTAGAATTATCAACGTAACAAATGCCATTAAAAACAATTTCTTCATTTACACTTTTTACATTTTTGTTTGTGTTGAATTGTTCATAATCATAAAAAACGACATGGAATATATTGGATTCCTTTTTCTCGAATTTGATATATAAAAATTTATCAAGTAAAAATTTCTTTATGTAGCTTATTAAATCACTTTTGTTTTCATTTGGTATTTTTAATCCAGCTAACGCTGCTTTAATTGAATAAGGAGGATGATTTTTTAAATTAAACTTTTCATTTAATTTTTTTATATCATTAAAATCTAATTCTTCCTCATTCCCAAAATCAATATATTTAACTAAAACTTTTTTTTTGTTTTTATTTATTTGTAAAACAATTGCTCTGTAATAATAATTATCAATATATTTTGCTAAAACTAGAGAATTTTTATTTATTTCTGTTATAGCAGATAATTCTAAATTGCTACTTTTGTTTAATTCCTCTTGTAATTTTTTTAACTCTTCTTGTTTATTTTTTAATTGAATACAAATATTATTAATATCATCTAAATATGAACAATAATAAATATTATCATATGAAGTTAAATCATTTTCCGATTTTAACACATCGTCAATATAATCTGCCTTTTCAATTGACCAAATATTTTTTTTTTGATTTTTAGCTTCTTCTGCTGCTTTAATGTAATTATTTCTCTCACTTGTATTATTTAGTCCTATTTCGTTCAACATACCATATCCAAGTGAAAGTAGGTGAATTGAAAAATCTTTATTTTGATGTTTCAATATTCCTATAAAATTGCCTCCTTTATCACATGTTACTATAGTTATTTGAACATTTCTTTGCATCAGCTTTTTTCTTGTGTATTTATAGGCTTGAACTGCTATTTCTTTATATTCATTTTTTTCTTTTTTACTTGATCTTATTTCTCCATTTAAATATTCTTCATTCGATTTTTTAAATTTCATTTCAATATTATTAAGGTCTTTTAGGTTTATTTTTTGTACAGTTATACCAAGCAATATAAAATTTATTAATAAATTTTGAGAAGGAATATAAAGTTTAAATTTATTTGCCCCATATATAAAATCAACATAAGCATTCAAATTATTATATTTATTTAAAACATTTTCAAAAGATCTAGCTCTTAGTGCATTTTCACTTCCACTTATATTATTAATTTTAATTATTTCAATATGTGGGTTAAACCTTCCAAGTTTTTTTTCTTCTGCATCTTTTTCTAATTCTTGTAAATGAAAATAGTTACTAGCTTTTTCATCATCTTGCCTATGATTTATTACTCTTGCCAATCCTTTTGCAACCAATTGTTCATTTAAATTAATATACTCTACATCTCCATTAAGTAAAGGTTGTTCTTCAAAAGTGATTTTATTTTCTTCTAGTTGATTATTAATATTTTTAGCTTTACTTTTATTACTCGACTTTTTTTTACCTTTTTTTTCATCCCATTTATTAGGAGAATTTACTTTACTTGATTTTTCTTCATTTTTTTTTTTTTCCATTTTATAAACACTAACAAAATGCATTCTTCCTTTATCATCTGAGCATTGAGGTATGTAACCATCGCTGTTACTCTGAGGAGTTTTCACATATTCCGTAACAATTTTAACTTTTTCTCCGACTATCTGACTTTTTAAGTAATCTTTTGCTAATATGCATAATGTATTTAATTTTAAATCTGTGCTATGTTTCTCACATTTAATAGAAGCCATGTATAATCTTCTTTCTTCATTTTTATAATCAACAATAATAACATCACCATATAAAACTTCTATAACTGTACAAATGTATTCTTTTTCATAATCAACTTCTTTTTCAGTATAATTGATCCACTTTTTCTTCCTTAGTTGTATAGCTTCATCTAGTGCCTTTTTATATTCAATAGGGTTATCAACATATTTTACTGTGTATTCATTTATGTAAGCATATCCACTTCTTAATAATAGAACACATATATTTCCTAACTTATAATTAACATTTGCATATAAATTACAATTATTATCTATATGTTTAATTTCAACTTCAATATCTCTATTTAATAATCTGGATTCAACGAATTTTTTTGTTTCCATTGCATATAATTCTTCTTTTACAGTTTCAACATTATTTGCTATTTCCTTTTTAAACATATCAACAATAACACCACATAGAGAAAAAGAAAAATAGTACATAGTTAAGTATTTTTCATCATTTTTAGTAGCTTCATCATTTTCTTCTTCTTCTCTTTTTTTTTTAATATTATTTTTTTTTTTTTTTTCTAAATTTTTTTCTGTATTTTCTTTTTTTTTTATTTCCTTCTTTTCATTATTATTATATTCTGCATATACACGAAAATTAGAACCATCTCTAATATGTTCTACAACACATTTCAATTTTTTGTTTAAAAATAAATCATATATTTTTTTGTTTTCATTTTTATCATTATAAGAATAAATAATATTCCTCACATAGTAATTAATGTTATTTCCAAATATACCAACTTTTTTTTCTTTTGCTTCCTTATAATAATTTTCCAATTCAGAGTAAATATTTGTTTTGACATTTTTATTCAATACAAGGTTTGCATAACCTCTTTCTAATAACAATATTGATAAATTTTGTTCTTCAAAAAAAACACTACAATATGTTCTATTATTATATGAATATTCAACAACAAAACTAACGTTTTTTCCAATTATCATTTTTCTAACAAATTCCCTACTCTCCCATGCAAATGGTTCTTCATTTTTTTCAACATTCTGACTTTTCATAAATAATTTCGGACATTGAATACAGGCTAAACTTATCTGTCTTTCTTGAGCGATACCACCTTAATAAAAAAAAAAATGTTTAATATTTTTACAAAAAAATAAAATGAAAAAAAAAATATACACATTTAAGTTTTATGAATATATAATGATAGAAAAAAAATAATATGATAAAAATAAATGGGGAATACAAATATAAACTTTGTAATATATATTTAAATATATAAAATAATACAAAAATAATCATTAGGCCTAAAAAATTATTAATAATCAACATAAATGGGTATATATAAATATAATATTATTATAAAATTAGTATATTTAAAAAAAAACAATTTACAACCTTGGCTTTTCATTATATATATATTTATATAATATATATATATATATTTTTTTTTCTCTTATATCACCTTTTTTGGCTCCTATTAAAATATAGGTATCGGCAGATATGACTTGTTTTACAATCCCATTCAATCTTTCCATTTAAAAAAAAAATTGTTTATAAAAATGAAATTTAATTATAATTTTTTTTAATAAAATGTTAAATCTTATTTAAAATATTACTTTAAAAAGTACACATTTATTTATGTACTTTTTTTTTTTTTTTAGTTTCAAATGATATTATTTATTTTTTTTTATAATGAATTTTACTTTATTATTAATTATAATTTTTTATTTTTTATATAATACTTTTTATTTTTTAATTCACTTTTTTTATCTTTGGTTTTATTTTTTTTTTTTTTTTTTATGTTTTTTAGAAACAAGTATACGTGCTTTATATATAAATTTTTTTTTTTTTTTAGAACATTATTTATTACAATGAATAAGATAATTTTTTAATGTTGCTTAATAAAAAAAAAAATAAAATAAAATAGAGAAAAACATAAACGCTCTCTTTTTTTTTCTTTTTTGTTTTTAATTTTTTAAAATCAACAAAAATTTATTTTTAATGTAATATTAGTTATTTTACTAATTTATATATACTGGAAGGAGAATGTATATAAGATAAAAAGAAATAAAAAAAAATTTTGTTAAACTGAAAACTTGTAATAGGTTATTGTAATTTTTTATAATGTATGTACACCAATTTAAATTATAAAAATTTTATTTACAAAAAAAAAAAAATAAAACTACAATAAAAATATGATTCTATACTTGATTAAACTAATTAAATTTTTTAACTCCTTAGTTCAAATTAATTTACATTAAGAGTTTGTATTTATCTTTTTTAATCTCTTGTGCTAAAAAAAAATATACATAAAGTATTATACAGTTTTATATAAAAAAAAAAAAAAAAAAAAAATAAAAATAAAATGAGTATTTCTTTGTTTAAAGAAAAAAATTATAATTTATTTTTATATAACTGTTTTATTTTATTTATTTTTTTTATAGTATTCTTTCTAAAATTTATTGTTATTCCTCTAATAATGAATATATATATCTTTTTTGTTGTATAACCACATTTCCTTTTTAAATTATTAATGTATTTTGAAGTTATATTAATAAAATATATTTTAAATTTTTAAGTTCCTTTTATTTTTTTTTAACATTCTACATAAAAAAGAATATATAACGGATTCTATAATATAAATTTATAATATTTTTTTGTAAACGGTTTTTTATATGGTAAAGTTTTCCCTTAAACATAAATGTGCATATGCCTTCTTATACTAGAAATATTTATTATTTCGGTTTTTAAGTAAATTCTTTGTACCTTCTATAACAGCATTTAAAACTGAATTAATTTTGTATCTATTTTATGTATAAATGAGAGAATGCATATATATTAATATATATAACTAATATTATATTGAAATTATCTTGCATCTATTTATTTTAAAACCCTTAAGGTTGTGAAAAAATGAAACAGAACAAAAAAATATATCTAAATTAACAAATTACAAATATTTTTAAAAAAGACGATAAAAATTAAATATATGCATATTTTTTATTTAATATAATAAATTCTCCTTATTAATTGTATGCACCAAAAAGCACAAGAATATTTTTCAGGTCAATCTAAAATAGCTATTTGAAAAAATATTAATTTTTTTTTTTTTTTTTAATTTATTTTATTTTTTTTTACTCTACATTTTTTTTTTTTTATTTTAATGTTTAAATTAAGTATTTTTATTTCTTTTTGTTATTATGACCGTCTTATTGTACTTTAACTATTTATTTGAAAATTTACAATATTGAACACCTTAATTTTACATTTTCTTTAAAAAAAAAATGTGTAGATAAAATTATGAAATTTTAAAGCATAAAAATTTCTCATTCCCTTTGAACTGATAATAAAAATAGTTCTTTTTAAAATATTACTTTTTATTATAAATAAAAATAAAAAGATGCGTAATATATAACAATAAAATGAAATTCAAATTTTTCATTGTGCTTTTTAAAATAATTATTTTTCAAAATATGTTTAGTTTTATTAATAATACATTTATATCAGCCGGATTTAATGATTTTGATAACAAATTAACTAATAAATTTAATACTGTAAATCGTAAAAATAAAGACGATAAAATTATTTCTAGTAATTTTTCAGATATATCCTTAGAAAATAAAAATAAAATATCTCTTTTTGAATTAAGTAGAAGAAAAAAAAGAAACAAAAAAAAAAGAAAGTATTATGATGATGAAAATGATGACTATGAATCTGGTGAAACATACAATACGGATAGTTATGATGATGAATATGAAAGTACTCCTAAAAAAAAAAAATATTCTTCATTTAACTTTTTAAGAAAATATAGGATATTTGGTAGAGATGATGATGATAACTATAATGAAGGAGAAGACGATTATGAATATAAGCGTAAGAAAGATAAAAAACATAAATATAGAAAAAAAAAATTTCAAAATAATATTTTAAATGATGAAAACAATAATGAAAATAATTATAACACTGAGAATAACAATATGAATAATAATAATATGAATAATAATAATATGAATAATAATAATATGAATAATAATAATAATAACAATAATAATAATATGAATAACATGAATAATAATAATAATAATAATATGAATAATAATAATAATAATATGAATAACATGAATAATAATAATAATAATAATATGAATAACATGAATAATAATAATAATATGAACAATAATAATAATAATAATATGAATAACATGAATAATAATAATAATAATATGAACAATAATAATAACATGAATAATAATAATATGAACAATAATAATAACATGGATAATAATAATAATGTTAATAATAATAACATGGATAATAATAATAATGTTAATAATAATAATATGAATAACAGTAACAGTATTAATAATAATAATAATATTGCCAATCTTAGTGTTACTTCTGCAAACAATAGTAATAACAACAATAATCCAAATGAATCAAATCCTCAAATGAATGGAAATGTTGCTGAAGGAGAAGCTATCTCAACTGATCCTTTAGAAGAAAATAGTAGTTCTAACTGTTCAAAATTAATAAAAGATAGTCTCAAATTTAATACAACTGAATTGATATGTAATTCAATTAATTGTAGTAGTTTATCTAACTCATATAATGAAAAAATTCCCTTAACCGGTACACATATATTTGTAAATTATATGAAAATTTTTCCTTTAATTTGTAACGATATAATTATATATTTAATTCTTTTTTACTTTTAGATTGTACAAATATAACATATTGCAGTAATTGTACAATTCTTAATAACCCCAAAGAACAATGTTACAAAGTCAAAACTTTAAACCCAGAAAATATTAATATATCATTAGGTTTCATTGATTCTACAAATGTTAATATAAAAGAAATTAAATATCAATCTTTCATTAAAATAAGAAAATATCTTATCTTTTCATTTAATATTATACATATATATTTATATAACTTTTTTTTTTTTTTTTTTTTTTTTTTTTTTTTGTAGTTATATAATAAAAATAATTTAATAAATATACCCTTTAATTGGGATAACCAATTATTAGATTTCTCTAAATGTGTACCTGATGTAGATAAATTTAAATTGGCTTCTAAACAGTCATTAAATAAAGGTTTTCTAAAATATTTAAATCATTCATAATTATATATAATAACTTTATGTATTTAAAATTAATTAGAATATTTTTATATTTCTCTTAGATAAAAATGAGTCATCAAAATATTTGTACAGACTAGCTAACTTATATATTTATGCCACGAAAGTAATAGAAGATAATAATTCTAATCCTTTAAAAATATCCGTTAAATTTAACAACATTAATGTTGATTCATTAAAACAAACTGAACATTTAAAAAATGAATCTAATTCAGTTTTACCTTGTCCTTTAAATATTTATAATGTCACAACATTTAATATACATTTAACTCAATCTTTTGTATTTTATCAGTAATATATAATTATAAATTAAATAACAAACATTGCAAAAAAATGCTAAATTTTGTAAAATTTCAAATTTAAGAATTTTTTTTTCTTTTCTTTTTTTTTTTTTTTTTTAGACGTTTATTTATTCCAGAAAACAATCTTTCAATAGATAGCAAAAATTTAAGTATTGAAATATCAAATAATGAAGGATATAATGTAAGTAATTATTATTTTTATACAAAGATTGATTGTCCGAAAACAAATGATGAATTAGAAAAAGAAATAAACCATTCAGAACCATCTCAATCTAATTTACAAGTTGCATCTGAAACTGATAATGAAAAAAAAGGACAAGAAAATGCACAGGTAAGTAATACTGGAACTTTAGAAATTATAAAAAATAATAGTTCTCTAAGTGATTTTAAGAAAAGTTCTTATACTTATAAAAATGCAATAAGTTATTTTATTTCCTTAATTTGTATAATTTCTTATTTTGTTTTCATAAGTTAGTTTTATTTACCTGTTTATACTAGATTTTCAAATTAATTTTAATTTTTTTAATATTTAAACTTTTGTTTTTTAAGAAAATATTTTTTTTTTTTTTTTTTATGTAAAGCTTTACTTTATAAAAAATTTTAATTTTTTTTTAGCATTTGTAAAAAAATTTTTTTATGATTAGTGAAATTTGATACAATTTACATATATATATCATAATATTATATTTCGTATAAATATGTCTAAATTTTGGACATTAAATTTAACTTTCTTTTATATTGTAATTTGTATACTTTTCTTTTTTACAAAAAAAATATATTATTTGTCATATTATTTAATATTATTTTTAATTAATAAATAAATTTGATCTGTATATATTTCAACTAAATTATTAAAATTTTTAGAATCTTCAATGAAATCTTTTTCATAGGAATTTTGATATTCATAGATTGAATTATTATTTTTTTTTGAATAATTTTCAATAAAATTTTTAATGTTATCATATTTCTTTTTAAGTTTTTTTAGTTCATCAAGATTTATCTCATTAATATCCTTATCATTTAATTTTTCATTTTTCTTTTTATTAATATATTCAATGATAAGTTTCGAATATGTACCTATATCCATTTGTAATTTTCTTAACTTTTCTACATTAGCTTTTATTTCCTTAAATAAGGAAATATTTTCTTCTATAGAATTTTTATTTAATACAGGGTATCCAGATTTAATTATTAAATTTTCCGACTCTTGTAATTTTTCATGGACTTTATTTAATTTTAGTATATATTCTTCATTAAACAATCTTTGATTTTCTAACTTTTCTAAATTGTGGAATAAATTATCAATTACTAAGCTATTTTTCTGTGTTTCTTCTTTTAATAATTGAAATATATCTTCTATCATTTTATATAATTTTTGAGTTATTCTAATAGTTTTTACCTTTTCTTCCAACTTTCTTTTTTCTTTTAAATAAAAATTTTTTTTTTCTTTCAGAATGTTTAAATAGTTATTAAAATTATGACATAAATTATTATATGATTTATTTTCCTCTTTTGAGCTTAATAAATATGGTAATATAATATCTGAACATGTATATATGTAATTTTTATTATGCATTTCTTCAATTGTTTTATGACAAAAATTTTTGCTTCTCTCTAATATGCAAGAATCAATAGTTGTACCAAATATATTTCGTTCAACTATAGAACAGTTATTAAATATATTAACTATATTTATACAATCATTAGTTTCTTCATTTTTAAAATTAAATGTTTTAATTACAGCTTTTTTATAAATATCATTATATATAGATTTTCTTATTTCTTTTTCTTCTATTCCTTTTCTTTCATAAGAACTTTCACAAAAAAGTTTTGGATCTAAAATAATTTTTTTTTCAAAATTTAACGATGCACAATGAACTAAGGGGTCTTTATCCCCCTTTTCAATGCATCTTTTTATTAAAGAAATAAAAAAATTTTTTGTTTTGTAACATTTTTTTATTTTTGAGTTATATATGTTATCTCCATTTGCAATGTGTTTTTCTTGTTCGTCAAACATATTCGTATTAGCTTTGCTATTTTTTTCTTCTGCACTTTCTTTCACACTATTATCATTATTTATATTATTATCTTCTATTATTTGATTTTCTATATTTATATAATTTAGTTTGCATAAAGGCTTTTGAATTTTTTTATAACAATTATAATTACTCATGTTGTGTTTTTCTAAAACATAATTGCCAATTTTATTATATTTTAAACATTTATTATCATATTTGTAATTTTTTAATAAATCTTCGTAGTAAATTAAACCATAACTAACTTTTAGGCATATATTTGTAAAACTGTCATTAGTATTTCTTACATTTTTTTTATGAAAAATGTCTTCTATTACATTTTGGTATTTGTTTAATTTAGCTAGACAGAACAAAAATTCAAAAAGGTATATAAAAAATTCAACCAAATTTCTTTTTTTCATTGTTAAATGAACAAAAAAAAAGGGAACAAAAATTGTAGAAAAAAAAAGAACAAAAAAAAAAATGGTTAAACAAGTATTAATAAAATAATTTTTTTATATTGTTTTTCAAAGATATTTTTACAAGATACAAAAAAAAAAAAAAAAAAAAAAAAAAAAAAAAAAAAAAAAAAAAAAAAGAGTTATGAAAGAAGGAACATTACACATTTAAATATAAAAAAAAAAAAAAAAAAAACGAATTATTCTTTTAATATAATAATATTGGACAGATGCATATTAAGAAGCTACATGAAAGAAAAGAAAGTTTAATATCTAAAGAGAAATAAATATATGAAATGTTATTAATTTAATAAAAGTTAATATATTAATGTATTAAATATTAAGATATATGAATTACTTAACAATTTTATAATAATTTCAATGATAAAGTAATATATGTTCACTGATATTATTAATTTATCTATTTACCTAATAAAGTTATATATATTAGAATGTATGAAAATTATTACAACTTTATTCTTTTTAATTATTTTCTGTGTAATTACAAAAAAAAAAAGTAAAAAAAAATTATAGAGTACAAAATTTAATAAAAATACACCTTTTGTCTATTAATAAAATAGATATTTTTATTTTTATTGCAATTTTCCATATCCTTATTTTGTGAAGGAATAAAATACTTATTAAAAAAAAAAGTATTTAACGATGTATCACAAATGACAAAAAATTATTAATTTATTTTTATATTGTAATTTTTAGAATATTCAGAACAAAGATATTTAAAATAAAAAAAAAAAAAAAAAAAAAAGATATTAAAATTTTACAAAAAAATTGTCAATAAGGTATAAGAAAAAAAATTTATACTTTCAAAAAAAAAATTAAAAAAGGAAATTTATACTTAAAAAAAATATTTAAAACTGTTAAAAGATTTATATATAAATAATATATTATATATATAAACTTTTTATATGTATGCATATTAATAATGCTTTATGTATAGTCATTTTTTATATATATTTTTGACAATAGAAAAATAAAATAAAATTATATATATATATATATATGTATATTAATTTTTATAATATTCTATATAATAAAAAGGAACAGCATAAGATAAATTAAAAAGTATTACAATATCATTATCAAAACTCATAGAATCATAATTATTGTAATAATTATATATTTGGTTTTCAGACGTTTTCATAAACTCATTAAAAGATAATTTATCGTAATTAAATGATTTGCCTTTATGTAAAGCTACAATAATTAGTCTATAATTATCCAAGTTGATTTTATTATTATTAATGAAAGTATCATAAAAATTCGTAGCATCATGTATTAACTTAAAAAAAATTGCAAAATTTTTGATATTTGGACATTTTTTTTCAAAAAATTTTTTATTACAATCAAAACCATGTGAATCACTAAAAATTTTATCCATTAAGTTGAATTCAGAAATAAAAAAATATAAATTATTTTTATCAAATTCATAATTTATTTTTTTCATTAAAGGAACTACGTTTTTTATATTAATTTTTTTATCTATTAAGGATAAAAAATGGTCTAGAAAATATTTCGTACATGTTTTTAGTATCCTCCTTTCATTTAATGAATATTTAACATCATTATAATTATTTTGCTCGATGAAAATTCTATTTATTAGATTTGTTTCATAATTATTACTTATATATAAACATATTGTTGAATTTTCATAAATTTTATAACTATCCCTAAATTTATTTTTTATATATCTATAAAAATTATAACAATCAAAAGCATAGAATAACAAATTATTGTATGCATAATGAAAAATATCTGAATAATCTTTTTCTAAAAATAATGAAACTTTATGTGTTTGTCTCTTTTGTTCAATATTATAAATATTTAACATAATAAAATTATGTGTTTTCTTATTGTCTTCATAAAACAATGAGGTAAAAAATTTATTAAATAAATACAATCTATTTGATTTACTAACATCTGAATCTTCTATACTTTCATAATTTAAATTTTTTAAAACAAAATTTAAGCTATTATACAATTCTTTATTGGAGATATAATTTATATTATTACTCTCTCTTTCTACATAATTTTTACTTTCATTATCATTTATAAAATTTTCACTCAAATATTCATGATATTTAATGTCTTTTGAATACTGACTGTTTAATACTTTATCTTCTTCAATATATGTGTTATTATTAGTGTTACGATTTATTCTACTATACTTTTTCATTTTATTATTTTCTAATTCGTTATTATTAATTTTCTTTAAATTTTCATCCGAATATATCTCACTGTTGTTTTTATCTATCTTATTATTATCCTCTTTTAGGTATGTTGAAAATTTTTTACTGTTATCCATTTTTGTGTTTATGTTTTTTATACATAATACACTATTCTTTCTTTTCAATTTGTCATTTATTTCTTCATTTTCTTTCATACTTTTTTTTTTTATTAATTTATATTTTACATCTTTCAAATCGTTTTGTATATTCATCATTACATTCATTATTTTGTTTAAAACATCAGAATTATTTTCATTTTTTAAAATATCATTATTTTCATCATATATATAATATTTTTTATTTTCTAATTCATTATTGTTATCACTGTTATTTATTTTATTATTCATATTACTATGATTATAATCACTATAATGATTTTTATCATATCTCATGATTTTATTGCTATAATCAAATTGTTTGTATTCAAAATAATCATAATTATTATGCATATTATAACCAGAATCATAATCTTTGTAGTTTGTAATGCTTTCTTTACAAATGAAACCATTTTTATTATGTTTATAATTACAATCATCATTTATATATTTGTCGCCATTTTTATAATAAACATCGTTTTTATCATAATTATTATTTATATGAAAATTCTCATAAACTTCTTTTTTTGAATTTTCATCATAATTAAAAAACATTTTATCATTATAATTATTTTCCTTTTGATAATGAATATAGTTATTATCATCTTCTATATATATTTGTTTATGCTCATCTTCAATCCAATTACTATCATTATAAAAATCCTTATTTTTTTTTGTATAATATCCATTAGGCATATTTGAAATAATTTTATTTTTATTATTTTGTACATAATTATTATCTTTATCATTATTAAAAAATACACTTTCTTCATCTATTTTTTTATTTCTTAAAGATTCTATAGTTTGTTCATCCCATTTTCCTTCATTTTTTTTTACTAAATAAGTTTCGTTCATTTCTCTAAAATTATTATATTTTTTTCTGTCATCTTTTAAAGGAAATTTCTCATCTCTCATATTATTAAAATTTTTATTATCACATTTTTTTCTGCTATTTTTTTGTTTTTTTACTATTTCTTCTTCATATGGATAATTAGAAATATTTTCATCATATTTTTGGTTATCTTTATAATGTTTATGAAGAATTTCTTTATTGTTTTCTATCATATAATTGTCTGTATGGTTATATTTGTGATCATAATTAAATTTTTCCTTAAAATTATTTTTTTCATTTAAAAATTTCATCTTTTCATTATTATTCAAATCATGAAAATTATTATTTTCTGATTTCCCCTCTTTATTGTATAGATTAAGATATTTTCCATTATTGCTTTCTTTAATAGTATAATTAAAATATTCTTCTTCCGCGTATTTTTTATTTTCCTTATTTAAATTATTATATTTATAATTTACATTGATATCAAAATTATTACAGTTTTGGTACTTTTTATTACTATTTATATTTTCTATATTGATTCTATTACTTAAGGAATCATTTAATATAACTTCTTGAAGATTATTCATTTCGTCATTATTATATTTTACATTTGCACTGTTATCTATTAATGAATTTGACTGTAATTCTTTTTTTCTGTCTTTATGATAAGAATATTTCATATTTACATGTTCAGTGTTATTTTTTCTTTTATTTTCTTCATTGAATTCAAATATAGAATTATTTCTGTTATCATTGGAGTAATTATTACACAGATCATCTTCTACATTATTTTCTTCATGTGTCGTTCCTTTTCTATTATTTCTTAAATTATCTAAACTTTTATTAATAAATCCTTTTATTTTTTGATCACTTAAACCCATTAAATAATTTCTGTCATTTCCTTCATTATAAACATTTCTTAGTATATCTTTATTATTCCTGTTGATATGTTTATTTAGTTCTATTGGATTTTTATCATTTTTATTTTCCAAATTATTATGATGTGTATTAAATATATTTACCTTATCTTCGTAATCATTAACATTTAATGTTTTTGCATTTTCTCTTAATTCATTTTCATGATTTGGTGTGATATTATTAAAAAAAAAATTCTTTTTCTTATCTTTTTCGTGATCATTATTTTCATGTTTATTCTTATAATAATAATTATTTTCAATATATTTATCTTTGAACTCGTTATTTTTTATATAACTTCTCTCATCTTTTTTCATATCATAATCATTTACACTATTAAATTTATCTAAGTAATACATAGAGTTATTATTACATTTAGTATCTTTATTATTAATATAATCATTATTACATGTAGAAAAATTATCATCATAATTAAAATTATCTAAATTATTTTTGTGTTCCTTTTCCATATTCATATAATTGAACCCGTAACTATTATAATTATTACTATTATTATTATTACTATTATAATTATTACTATTATTATTATTAGAATTATTATTATTAGAATTATCAAAATTATTTTTGCTTATTCCCATTTTTTTACTATATTCATTATATCTATTTATTTTAAAATTATGATTTATTTTTTCATTTATATTAATACCATTATCATCATTCTTATTACTATTATTGTCATTTTCATTTATGATAATATTATTTTCATCAAAAATTTTCCCATTATTTTTACTGTTTTTATCTAAACGACTAAAAGTTTTAATATTTTGAATATCACTTGATAAATTTTCCTTATTTACAACATCTCTTAAAAATGAGTCATTTTTGTTGTATGATTCAATTAAAACACGTTTCTCATCATTTAACAATTGATTGGTAGGATTATATATTTCATCCTTAAGTTTTATATTTACATCATTTATATTATCATAATTAATTTTATTTTTCTCTTTTAGTAAATTTTTACTTGTAATTTGATTATTATTTTCTTTAAATAATTCATTATTTTTTTCACATAATTTATCATTTTTTTCATATATTTTATCTTTTTCCTCAAAAGAAAAATTTCCGCTATTAAAAGTAAATTTCTCATTGTCTGATGTACTTGATGCTTTCCTTTTATTCACTTTTTTTTCCTTTAAATTTTTCTGTGTGTCTATATTATCATTGTAACCTTTTCTATTCATACTAAGTAAATTTTTATGTGTGATATTTTCCTCATGTACTAAAAATATATTATTATTTGCTTCTATGTTTTTATTTTTTTCGTTTAATTTTAAATTGGTTTCACTTAATATTTTATTATATGAAAAATCATTTTGGTTAATTATATTTTTTTCTTTAGTTGTATTACAATGTAAGAAAATATCATCACTTTTATTTTTTTTTATTTTATCATAAAAAATTAAATTATTTTCCGATCTATTCTCAATATAATCATTGGAAAAATCATTTTTATTTTTCATATTTGGGTAAATAAATATATCTTTTATTTCATTTAAGGGTACTGTTTTCGAGTTATTCCTACTATTACTATGTAATATTTTTCTGCTATTTAATATTTCTTCTCTTTCTTTGTATAACTTCCATTCATTTGAAGAAACAGGATTTTGTAATGTTTTTTGAAAATTATTATCATAATCTATTGAATTATTTATATTATCAAAATAAAAAACTGGAGAATTATTATTAATATCTAAATTTAATACATCAGGTATACTTGCCATATTACTCTGTTTAATTATACTTCCATTAGATTGAAATAGAGTTTCCTTATATTCATTACTGTTTTTATTTTCTACTATACCCTTAGTGTTATAATCTTTCAAGTTATTACATTCTTTTTTGTTTACCATATATTTATTTTTATTCATATTAGAATTACTCTTATGTAAAATATTCATATTGGATGTCTTTAAATTATCTTTATTATGTGTTGTAAAGATATATTCGTTAAAACTATTATCTTTAAATTCAATCACATTATTATTCTTGTTACTATCATATTTTAAGTTTTCATTACTTTTATTAATATAATAACCATTTTCATTTATAAAATTTTTCTTACTGACATTATTTGAATAATTCTCCATATTATCACTATGAAATTCGTTATTATTTGTAATATTGTTAACATTTGAGTTTTTATAATTTTTGTTGATTTCATCAATTTTTTTATGTGTTGATAAAATATCCTCATGTAGTTCCTTGTTCGTTTCTTCATATATAATTTCTTGTTTAATTGTGTTACATTCATAATCATCTACTTTATCATTTGTCTTATTTATATTTGAATCATTATTCAATTTATAATTACTAATTAAAAGTGTATTATCATTGCTATAGTTAAATTTATATTTTTCATATTTATTTATATCATTATTTTTATATTCTTTATTTTTATCTTGAGCATAATAATTATCCATTTCATAAACTTCATTATTATTAATACTATTTAAAGATTTCAATTTTTCTTCATTATATGTATTTTTATTTTTATATATATTTTCATCTTTTGTATCCTTATTAAGATTACATACATTATTATTTAAGCACTTATTTATAGAGTTATCACTATTAACATCGAACCTGCTAAAATTCTTTTTTTTTAAATTATCTTCTGATATTATAACCTTATTTTCCATTATTTCCTCTTTGTTATTTGATACATGCATCTGATTATAATTAAATATACTACATTTATTTATATTATTTTCATCTATATAATTTTGTTTATTTTCTAATTTATAATTATTTATACCTTTTTTATTAATATTACTTTGTGATTTATTTATATTTAAAAAATTGTTAAATTCTATACATTTGCTTTTGTTTAATTCATTAGAATATTCTTTATCTAACAAACTGCTTTTTAATTTTTCAAATTCAATATTCATTGGTTTTTCTTCAAGGGTATTTGTTTCGTATTTTGAAAAATTATTTATAATATCTGTCTTACTAACACTATATCTTCTATTTTTTATAGAAGTATTATCTTCTTTTAATAAACTATGATTATCTTTATTGAAAGTTTGAACAGATGAAGTTTTTGATTTTCTTTTTTCTATATTATAATCTTTTTGAAGACTCATAGTATTTTTTAATAAAACATTTTTATTTAATTCAAATTCAAATGTATTTAAATTTTTAAAATTTAGATCAATGTTATTTTTTTCTTTGTTATATAAATAATCTTTTAAATTATTCTTTAAATCGTTTTCTTCATTTATATTACTACAGGATTGTTTAAAATTAATATTATCATTTTCATAATAATCATTTCTTTTAGAATTCTTAATCTTTTGATAATTTTCATTTATTTCTTTTTTTTCCACATTATTGTTATCTTCTACTATTTTTTTATAATGTGGTGTAATCGTGTCATTGCAACTCATAGATATTTTAAAGATATTTTCTCCCATATTTTCTTCAGAAAAAGAAGAATCTATTTTATAATTTTTTTCCATACTCTTATTAATATTATCATTATAAAGACCTAAACTTTCTTTATTTAAATTAACTCCTTGTGCAAAAATACTATCATCAAGAATAATATCATCAAGAAATTTATGCTCATCATTGTTTTTCGTAAAAACATCAATGATACTACTATTTAAACTTTCCAATTTATTTAAACTTAAATCATTCAACATATTATTTGAATTTATTTTTTTATAATTATTATTATGAAAACTTTTTTTATTATTATCAGTAACGTCATACATAAAATTAAGCGAAGTATTTTTTACCTTATCTTTAACTAAATTATTTTTTTCATAAATATTATTTTCTTTTTCATTTTTTTTTAAAACTGTTTCTTTATTATAATTTTTGAAAATATTATTACTAACATCAAAATTTGATTTTATATTAATGCTTTCTTTCTTATTATAATAGTTTTCTTGATTGTAATTAATATTATTCTTTGAGTTTGATAAATATGTATCTTTGCTAATATTTTTTGTACTTTCTGTTAAATTATTATCTACACTCATATAATTTTTATTTAATTCCTTCTCATTACTTATATAACTCGTTTCGTTAAAATTTATATTATTACTCAAGTTACAATTATTTAAATTGTTACTATTTTTTTTTTTATTTATAGATTCATTTAATACTTTATCATTTTTAATTGGGTGTTCATAATCAAAAAAATTATTTTTATTTGTTTTATTTTCATTTAAATTATCGCTTAATAATTCATTATTATATACCTTCTTATTATAATTAATATTTTTTAAATTATTTTCATTATATATATTATTATAATTATTGCTTGAAATAATATTTATATCAGATTTATTTCTTTTCATTAAATATCTTTCTTCATTATTTGCCAATTCACTTTTTATATTAATATTATTTCTCTCATGAATATAACTTTTACTTGATATTTTATCTGTTTGATTTTTTTCTTTTAAAGAAGTTTCTTTTATATTTTTATTTAACGAATTATTTATATTTCCTCCAAATGCAAATGATCTAATAGAAACATTATCATTTATTTCTGAATCGTTTAGGTTAGAAATATTAGAAAAATTAGAAATATTGCTAATTTTAATATCATTACCATTTAAAGAAAAGTTGTTAGAATTATTCTTATCATTAAATGAACAAAAACTAAATTCTTTTCTAAAACTTTCTGAAGATATTAATGATATATCTAAATCATTTCTATTTAATTTATCTTCTACATGATTTTTTGTTTCTAAAAAATTATTTGGTATATTTTTGTTTATCTTTTTATTATTTAAAGTCAAATCGAATTCTTTTTTACCATCCGAATAATAATTATTATTATTGCTATTCAAAAATTTTTCATTAATTTTAATAAGATTATTGCTATTTTTCATATAACTCTCTGAGTCAATAGAAATATTGTTGTTAAAATTTATATTTTTATAACTAATAATATTTTCACTACCACTTTTTTTTAATTCAGAAGTATTTTCATTATTAGATTTTATTAAGAAGCTTTTGTTTTTTTCTAAGTTCTTAAATGAATTTACATTTGAAGTATTTTTTAATAGTTCATTTAATTTATTGTTATCCTTAAAACTACCCTCACTAATTTTAATACAATTTTTGTTTGAGGTATAATTATAAAAGATATTTTCATTAGAAGTACTTTTATAATTTTCATCTATTTTTTTTTTCAAATCTTCTTTATCTTTTTCATTTGGTTTTTCATAATTTATCATTGTTTTCAATTTTGATAAATTATCATTTATGTTATTATATAAATTAATACTTTCACTTTTTGAGTTGGTATTTTTCACTTCTCTATTGTACTTTTCATATACACCATTATTTTCATCACTTTTTTTTAATATATTATTTGAATTGATATTTTTATCTACTTTTTCTAATTAAAAAAAAAAAAAAAAAAAAAAAAATTTCTTCTTACATTAAATTATTTTAAAGTATTCGCTTATATATATATATATATACGATTTCATGTTTTTTGTTTTATTTTTTTTTTATTATGTATATGAAATGATATATATGTATTATTTATATTTATACCATTTTTTTTTTCGTTATTATCTATTTCATTTTTTAATTTTTCATAATCATTCATAAAGTTGTTATTTATAGAACAGATATTATTTATAGATTCTTTAATATCATTTATGGATTCTAATTCATCTGTTGTATCAAAAACATCATGATATTCGCTATCCACCATGTTTTATATTTTTTTTTTTTAACACCAGTTAAAATGCATAACAAAAAAAAAAAAAAAA